ACGAAACGCGTTTCCCCTTGGTCTTCAGCTCACAAGGAAGATCGACGGCGATTCATTTAGCGATGGAATTAGGCAACATCATGCCCTACAAACACACTCCACAATCATGTCTATGCTGTGCTGGGGAAATACAAGTATCCCGCTCACCTTGCTCGTGAACGACCCCACCAGTAAATCCCACCTGGTTTTTGCCCAACACCTTTGGGCTTTCTTTCAAAATCACGAAACACGGGGTACCCTCAAAAAGACACAGCCATACAAATCATAAGAAACTGCTGCGCAAAGGTGCTTACGCGAGCCTACGCGAGCAGGGGTAGCTTGTGCGATCACCCACACCAGAAAACTTGCAATGTTATGGCTACGAGCCTTAACAGGGATCCTTATATTATACACCTGAACATTGCCTTGTCAATGGTGGTTTCCCTTTATTTATCTTGGTGGAAAAAGCAACATGTTTCAAATGGGCAAAATGTATTTTTTAAGGAGCCGTGCTTAAATGGGGGGCCAACCCACAAGTGGTTGGCGGACATGAGACCCCACCTGAATCATCTCCGCTGGGCCCCCATTTGCCCCCAAGCAAACGGGCCGTCTATGGACTCGACGGCAAAAAGAGTGGGACGCCTATGTCCTGGTTAACACTACAAGGACTATAGTCATCCCTCTGGAAATCTTTGCCATTGCCTGAGTTCTGGGGGAAGGTTGGTGTCACCATCCCCTTTGCATCTGGTGGACACATGGGAGTCCATCTGCCACCTTTATCGTTTTGAGACTTTGGTTCTCAACCATAGCCTTTCAACTGCAACGCCCTAAAGCCTAAACCACGACACCTGGGCTGCTCAAAAAGGAGTTTTCGCCAATCTCAATCCTTGGTGGGACACAAGGATTGAGCCAAATCCTGTCGTAACGCGGTTCCCCTTGTCTTGGTGAATGTTCAGCCCTAGATGATCATCACTTTGCTAGAGGACCTTCCTCCCTCTAGCATGTCACCTGCAGGGAGGTACCTGAAACATGACATTTTCCTCTTTCAGGGAGCCCTGCCAGGTGCGATGGCAATGGAGGGAGAGTACTAGAAGGGACCCCGGACGATGAAACCTCTGGTGGAGTAGTAGGGGGTGTTCCCTTTTCGTGGAGGTTCACCACTTTTGGAGGGGATAGGACAAGTTCTACTTAGATCCGGGGTCAACATTAGATAACCTCTGGTTGGTCGTGTGGATTGGTGACTTGGAGCTGTTCCCGGGAGTGTTTTCCATTCTCCACGAGAATCCAGGGTTCAAATCCTCAAACCACCAATCCGAACCATTAAGAACTACCTGAATTGGCTGTGGGTCAAAAATAGGTACCCAAAATGGAACTCTGGTAAACAGAAACATGGACCAAAACCTGCGGTGCCTGGTGGCTTAATTTTGACCCATACCCATATAAGTGACGCGGGTGTCACCCACAAAAGTGGTCCGAATCTCCACTTTCGCTGGGGACCACGCGTTTGATCAACAAGCAGGGGTTTCGCTTGCTGACCTGGAACGAATCTGGAGGACCGGAATCAGGGGTTTCCCTTGTAGGGAAATTATCAAAGTTGTATCAACCTCCATTTGCTTGAGTCTCCAAAAAATAAATAAATCCAGTAGTGATAGATTTCCTTTAAAATTAACAGGGGGAAAACACGTCTTAAGCAATAAAAGCCAAAGAGTGTGTCTTTCTTTGAGGGCTCCACTGTTTTCGTCGTGTTTAAAGGGAAACAAACATGAACCACCAACTTGTTTTTTGCTTTGAGGGGAGGGGGTCCAATCCTAGAAGAAACAACAATTTCGGGTTCCTCAAACAACAACAAACATGAAAAACCACTCGTTTTGTCGTTAACGGTGAAACCAAAAAAGAAAACACAATTGAATCAAACATTGTGTCGTCATTGTTACAGGGTCCAGCCTCAAACAAAGGCAAGGCAAGAACCAAATCAACCAAAAAATACAACGCATTTAAATCAAACATGTTGTCGTCTTTGTTACAGGGTCCAGCCTCAAAAAAAGGCAAGAACCAAATCAACCAAAACAGAAAGCGCGTTTAAATCAACCATGTTGTGGCCTTTTTACAGGGTTCAGCAGCCTTAACAACGGGAAACAACCAAATCTTAAATTTTGATTAATCAACCATTTTGTCGTCTTTTTTACAGGGTCCAGCCGTAAAAAAAGGAAAGAACCCAAATCCGCCCAGCAGCTCCCCGCTTCCCAGCTGTTTCGATCAGAGAAAACCGCCGGCGCGATCCTTGGGCTCTACCAGCCCCAGGCGCCCGCAGCTCTGGCTGCCCCAGGCCAACAAGTCCCCGTTCTCCTCGTGCAACGAACCCCGGGGTTCGTGAACGGGTCCGCTTGGAATCGCAAAACGGCTGAATTTCCGGGGTTGGAAACGGAAAATCACTACACTACCCGGCAAATAGATGGCACATTTACGAGGTTTTTTTGAGCCATCTATCTGCCGGGTAGAGTAAGGAGGGTTCTGTTTGGAGTTGCAAAGAGAGGCGGCTCTTTGGCGGGTTGAAACCTCAAAACTGGATGCTCGATTTCATCACTGGAGCCAAACTACTTCTCCCTGGCTTTTTCTTTTGGTCGAGCCTCACGCCGTGCTTTCGCGTTTGGGAGCAAAAAAGCACGCTGCCGTAGCTGGGTGTCTTTTTGAGGGACCCTCAAAAGTGTGGATATCCTTTTGGCTTCCCTTTCAAACCAACCCCCCCCCAACAAAAAAAAAACACAAACACTTTTGGCTTCCCTTTAAAACCACCCCCCACCCCCCAAAACCACACACACACACAGCAAAGCACCACGCAAAAGCCGGGCGGCGAGATGTGCGATAGTGAAGGAGCCGCCGGAGATTATGGAAGACACCTGAGCACGGACCGCCTCTCTAGGCCAAAAAGGGGTCCCTATTCTGAAGTCGTAACAAGGTTTACTAGTTAAGGAGGATCTATGACTATATACATATATTTATATGGTCCAGAAAGGACAATATATATATATATACACATATATATATATATATGTACATATATATATATATATATTCATATACATATGTACATTCACATAGTATGTTGTTGTAGAATCGACCTGGCAAAGATCAGCGTGAATAGTTTCGAAGACCACCCCTTTGGCGTTCTGTGCTGGACTGACCGAGTTCTCGATTGCACCTGCGTGTGTGTATTTATTTGTTGGGTTTAACGGGAAACCCAGAGCAACACCACCATTTTTTGGGTACCCTTACTTTGACACATACCCACAGGGCTACCATAAGTGACCACATCTATTGTGCCTGCGAAAATCATCAAGCAGCCATCTCAATTCTCAGCTGAAACGTCGCAGTAGCAGGCTCTCGGATATGCGTCGTGGAAACAGCCGTCTATTCACTGGACAACACAGCAGCAGTAGCATGTTCAAGACACAGCAGCAAAAACCGCAATCTCAATGTAGAACGGTTGCAAGCTAATGGTGACAACTGATTAGTACCCCCCCCCCCCCCTTTTTAAGGTCGACAAGGTTTGGACAAGTCACCAAAAAAATTGCGGTTTTCGGGAGGACCCCGCTGACTACCTCTGGAGCCCCTTCGGTCAGCATTCCTGGTGCCTTCGGGGCGCTTTCGCGCAACAGGGCCCTGATGAATCGCGGGGGGGTTTCTGTTTTTGTGAGGGGGGACTGGCCTCCAAAGGGGGCCCCCTTTGTGAGCTTGAAAACCTTGTCATTTTAAACAAATTCTAATAAAGAACAATGCATTTCGGGGGAAGCACCTGTTTGGGGAAAACTTGAGGGCTTCAATAGTGACTTAGCATTAGTGGGTTTAAGCACAAACTAAGCAAATACTAAGCAAGAATGAAAGCACCTTTTCTAGCAGGTTTTGTTGGATTGGGGGCTGCAGAGGGATACCTTTCATCAGGGGGGGGGGGGTTTTGGGGAGGGCCCAAAAATAATTGGGTAGGTATTTTTTGGGGAAACCTTGTTGGCACTTCACTTTAGTGTTGGTGAGAATCTGGGGGGGAAAAGGGGGAACCTTTAATCGGGGGGGGGGGTTTACTAGTCGTCTCCTGACATTAACAGGACATGCGGCATGATCAACTAGGCCCCAAAAAGAACTACTGTGAACCTAGCAATTCACAGCGAGGTGAGGGTTATCTGAGTGTTCCCATTAACACAATCGCCGAAATGAGCCTACCCCTCAAGCAACTTGTCCGAAGCATCTGACATGAAGAAGAGTTTGACATATCCCTGATCCAAAGAAACCCACCGATCGCAAGTGTGGCTTCATGCAAGGTCAGGTCTCGTGAACCCAGCAGATGTGTGACTTGACCACCGCTCATGAAAAAGACTAGGTGCCTTCACTTTTCCACCCTTGGCATGGAACGGGCAACACTTTTTGTTTTTCCCCAACAGCTGAAAGCTTTGGGGCCTCAGCCCAGATAGGCTCCAGGGTGGTCCGGGGCGGCCCTAAGGAAAGGTTTTACGAGGGTTCCACCAGGGTTCCACCAGGTTCTGCCACGGCTGCGGGGTGGTGCGAGCACTAAAAAGAGCACCGCATGCTGTTGGGGATATCACCTGAGCTTATTTTTGCAGCCTACTAAAAATGAAGAGAACCCAACAAAAAATGGGACTTGCCAACAGAGAAGTTCAGGATGAGCCGAACCTGTCCAAAACTATCAAGGCTTCTGCGCACTCCTTTTGTGGCGTTCGGAATTCCTGGAACCGTGGACCTGAGTTTTCACCACTGATTGAGTTGAACAAACACAAACAGGGTGTCTCTTTTCGGGTTTAGCCCAGGTTGGTTGGTGTTCAGTGAATGAAAAGAACACCGGTGGCATTCTCCTCAGGTCATTGCCCAGGTTAGTCCGGGTATTCCTCTATGTAGCTCAAGCCCTTGGTGGTGAGTCGTTTGCTTCGGTGTCTGAAGGGAAATTGAACAAGCCCAGATCTCAACTTGGAGCTGACCACTTGGAACGTTGAGGTTGCAAAGACCCCGAAGCTGAAAATCCGCCGAAGGACGAAAAAGTTTTGCAAAACGGCCACTTTCTGTGAATCCCCGGCCGAAAACTGTCTGGTTCGTGAGTCAAGCCTTTGAACATGGCCCAAACTGGCCTTCAGTGGCCTGATCGGAGGACCCACAAGCTCAGTTGCCCCTAGACCCAGAAATAGAAGGTGATCACCTTGTGGCAGCTTTCTCAAAATGGAAAGTGGGACAACCAAAAGGTCAAATCTGGGCAAGTGGTGGAAATACAAGATCACGTTTTGGGACGTTAGCCTGGGCTCCTTCCATCCTCTGCTCCCCAGTAGACAATGGGTGCGGATTTATTCTGGGATTTGTCGTTCCCGTTGCTTTAGGGATTTTTGTTGTTGGTTTTTCGTCTTGGCTAGCAACCTGGCGTAAATTACATAATTTTCGTTGCGTATTTTACTCTAGTCCGTCAACATCCCCAGCATCGTTTTCAACATCCCCTGCGTGCCAAGTGTTCACTTGTGTTTTAGTGATTACTACCACCAATCCCTAAGAAACAACAAACCTAAGATGGCTGGGAACCACAAAGAAGTAGACCAAGGGACAACCAAAAGGTTAAGAGGTTGATTCGCGAGGTGTGGTCTGCAAAGCGTGTCCTGCGGCGACACCACTTGACTTAGCCACAAGCCTCACTCACTTGACTTAGCCATCGGTCGACTCAAACTCCACAGGAGTTGCGCCCCGAAGTTTCTACTTCCCACATCATTTGGGTGAGTCTTGAAACAGGATATGGACCCCGACAAAAAAATGGTTTTCCCCTGGGTTTCCCTTTAACGCAAACCCCAAAAACGACCGGCCCAAACCTTTAGAGGGCCTTCCCCCCGTTTTGGCTTGCCGGAAAAGGCGGGGTCTGTCGATTGGAGTTTCGGCTTTCAGGCTTCCCAGGCGCCGGCTCGTGGATGGCCTTCACAAGGGTTGGGGTCGTCACGAACTGGCCATGAAGCTGGCCTGCCACGAAGCAGCCCAAAACCAAACGCACGACTTGGGATCTCTGATGGACATTTGAGCTTCCCTCCACTCTTGGAACTGCTTGTGTCTCCGCGAATTGGGTTAACATTGCTCAGGTACCCCTAATTGGTGATTTGAGAGATTTGCTGGTTTGTGTAGAGGGTCGTTTTGACAATCGCATGCATGCTTAGCTCAAACAAAATGCGCCATGCTTCTGCGAGAGCACAGTCGCGGTTCATAAGTGTATGTCAGCAACTGCCAACTAACAAATAGCAAATCTAGGACATGCTCTGGCTCGACCGCTTTTACCATTGATTCAGCGAGAAGCTCTTGGCCGACATCGAACCGTTGTGTTCAACATCAGCGGTGCTCAAAAGACCCAAGAGATTCACCAAGAAACGGAGTCACCCGCTCGAACAAAGGAATCACCCCCCCCCCATTTACAAGGGCATGCCAGGCTCAACACCCAAGGGTTTTGGCTGTGCTTCGTGTCCGTTGATTATTCCGTCAGCATGCGGTCAGCAACGAGCCTTTGGACGACTGCTGCAAGAGGATATGTCCCGCAGTGATAGATTCCCTTTAAAACCAACAGGGGAAAGTAACAAACATGTTCTTATGCAAATGGAAGCTTGCATGGCAAAAAAGAGCGTCCAGAATCATTGCCTTGCATTTAGGCGTAGTTTTGGTGAATGTGCAGACCCACTCTGGCCAAACCCGGCATACGCCACGTGCATGTTTCTTCCAGTTGTTCACCAATTTACAGATCCCCCGAGGGCCTTTTGACGTAAGGACAACCAAAGGCATCTCTGCTTTCATTTGCTGAAGCCCAACTACACACCGTAGTTACTGGTCATGATCTTCATGCCCAGGTGTCGAATTCCTCCCTTTTTTTTGAACATCACCCTTAAAAGTGAACTCTTATGACATGACCACTTGTCGGTTAATCCTGAAGATAGTCTTAGGTGCATTCACAGGTGTACCTAGGTAAGTATACACAGGTATGAAGTATGCACAGGTATTCGACCTGAATTCCCATGGGTATATTCACCAAACCTTCCGAGAAAAAACAACAACACAACAAAAGCACAAAAACCCAACGCCCCCATGGGTGTATTCACCAGACCTTCCAAGACACAAAACAAGAAAAAGAAACACACAAAAACCCAACGTTCCCATGGGTATATTCATCCAAGACACAAAAAACATAAAATTAAACAACACACAAACAATAATAATATCCAAGATGGACACACACACACACACCAAAAGGAGAAAAACAAGAAACACGACAACAGCCACCGCGCCCGCCCGTTTCCGGCGCATTTTGGTTCTCGCCTAGGCCCAGCTGGCCGCAGTTGTTGGAGCCCCAGGAGTGGAGGCGGCCCATGGAGTCGATGACGAAGGTCTCGTTCTCGCCGCCTCGCGACGCGAGGCGACGGTGGGTTCTAAGGTGCCGGGCATGTGGCTTGCCCTTTCTGAAGGGGAATGGGGCCAAATACTTTTACCCTGGGAAGTAAGTCATACTTTGACCCTGGTGTGGGAAGTAAGTCATACTTTGACCCTGGTGTGGGAAGTAAGTCATAACTGTCATAACAATGATTGTAACTGGAGTAATTGCGATTTGGCTGTGGCTCAAAATTAGACAGGAGGGGCAAACCGCAGGTGTTGGTACCCACGTTTCCACTTACCAGGGCAACCCATTTTGGAATTCCGGTTTTTTGAGCCACAGCCATGTGGGTTGTGGTTTTAAAGGCAAACCAAGACTAGGTCCTCCACAGGGATCCGGATGCTGCATGAAAAACACCTGAGCATTGCAACTTGTAAATGGTGGTTTCCAACTTTATTTTGGTGGAAAAAGCAACATGCTTCAAATGGTTCCAAAATGTATCTTTTAAGGAGCCCTGCTCCAGTAGAGAGGTTAGAATAAGACTACCAACTTTTTTCCCCAACAGCTGGAAGCTTTGGGGTCTCAGCCCAGAAAAGGCTTCGGGGAGGTCCGGGGCGGTCCTGAGGTAAGGATTCCACGAGGGTTCCACCAGGGTTCCACGAGGGTTCCACGAGGGTTCCATGAGGGTTCCACGAGGTTCTGCGAGGGCTGCGGTGTGGTGCGAGCACTGAAAAGAGCACCGCATGCTGTTGGGGATATCGCCTGAGCTTGTTCTGTAGTCTATTTTAGTAGGGGAACCCTCCCCCCAAAAAGGGTGAAAGGGCACTACTGGGGACCTAGAAAAGGAACACCACCATGTTTGGGTGCCTAAAACAACTCATACCGGCCTGGGAATTCGAGTAGGACTCGGTTCATCTCGGGTTGCTTTTGATAGGCAGCTGCCAACCCTTGTTTCAACCTCGGGGTTCCCGGTCCAGAATCATCTTGCCACCCCGAACCTTAGCTCGGGAGGGCTCCAGGGGTCATCGGATGTTTTTTCTTTTTGCAATTTAGTGAGCTTGAGCGAAACCGGTCCAAACAAGCAGGCCCAAACAAGGGTCAAAATCTACATCCAACACACTTGGCTTTCCACTAAGACTTGTTCCTAACAAAGGCAGGTATTTGGGCTCGCCCGCCTCAGAAATTAGGGTCACCCTCCAAGTTGGCTTCCCTTTCCCTTTGAAACTATCCAAGAAGGGGTTCCCTTTGAGACAGTTTTTTCTAGGGACCCCTTCCTTCGCTCTTTCTTGGGTTTGAGACAGACCCAGATGTACGGGGCTCTCTTTTTTGGACACCCCCAAACACTTGGTGGTTGTTTGTTTCAGGAAATCAACAGAGCATCAGACACCACCTCCAGAAAGGTAACTGGAACACCGCAGAAGAAAACCGAAGCCAAGTTGTTGGGTCCAACCTTAAAAAGGACAACAGATGAGACGCCCAAACTTGTAACCCGGACAGCCCCCCCGAATGTTTGATGGCTTAAGGCAAAAAACCAGAGACTCCTTTCCCGCAGGAAGAAAAGAACAACAACCACCGCGCCGCGAAACCCCCCCCGACGACCCCCCCGACGACTCCACCCAAAAACCGACCCAAACCGACCCAAACCAACCCCCCCCTCCCCCCAAAACCGCACATGCCGCGCATGTCTCCGGTTGAGACGCCCGTCCCGCCCCGCCCCGCCCCGCCGTTTTTCCCCACGCGCAAACGCCTCAGCCGCGCGTCTTGAGCCGCCTCTCGTCTCCGCCTCTCCGCCCGAGCCCCGCCGAGGCGCAGAGGACCGACTTGAACTGCGAGGTGCCCTCCACCGAGGTGAACCGCTTCGGCGTCAGCACCTCGGAGGCGAGCGGCCCCCCTCCGGGCGCGAGGTCCGCGGGCGCGAGGTCGGGGGGGGAGGGGGGAGAGGAGGAGGAAAACCAAAAAAAACGCGGGCCGAAGCCGGGGCTCCGAGCTGTTTTGGTGGGGGACAAAAGTGGGTCAGCTGGTTTTTTGAGTTGAAACAATCGGGCCTTGGTGGGTGAGGTGTGAGTTTCCCATGCCCCAAATGAAACATCGCTCGAACCCGCAGACCCAAACTGGTGGACACCAACCAATTGTGTTTGGTCCCACCGTTTTCCTTTTGGCATGCCGCCTGGCTTTCTCCAACGATACGGGAGCATCCAAACTCATTGGTTCCCTTTGCTTCCCCACGACTCCGCAAAAAATCGAGGGACCAGAAAGGGCACCCAACAAAATGCATGGGCCCGTTTCCCTTTGGTTCCCCACGACTCCATTAAAAACCGGGGACCCTCAAAGGCACACGAAACAAATCGTGGAAGTCGACCACGTGGAAGTCGACCGTGAAAGGTTGCCAAGCCCCTCCCCCACCCTCCAACCGATGGTCCAAAAAAAACAAACCACTGATGGACGAAAAATCCTGCACCAACTAAGAAACCATGGTTGAAACCACTGTTTGTTGGTATTTACCAGGGGAATCAGACCCATCCCAGGGGCCTCTTAGGTGGTGCCCGAAATGGATTTCGCAACCCTCCACTAGCTATCTCAGCCGATGGAACCCTTGCAGGCCCCACTCCCCTTCGGCACACGTGACGTGGCTACGTGAAATGGTCCTTAGGGGAATGGAAAATGGTTGCACCCGGCCAGTAGAACCCAGGCTGTGGGTCAAAACCGATGGGATCCCATGTTGGGGTAGGTGAATTCACCACCCATTTCAGAACCTATTTTTGTGGGGATTGGGATGTTCACTGGGGGGTAACCGGGCTTTTGCCCATGGCCAGGTGAGTTTGAGTTCTTCGCCCGGGTTGCCACGAAACGGGGTGTTGAAGAGGGCCTGGAGAAAAACAACATCAGTCACAATCAAAACTCGGTATTAAAATGGTCTAGCCAGAACCGTGGTTCAAGAATTAAGAAGGCGGATATCCGCAGCTATTTATGGCAAGGGGATTGTCCCTTACTAACCTTCATCTACCCGGGTTTTGATTATGGCTCATATCCACTTTGTGTTGCTTCTAAGAGGAACCAAAAAAACAACTATGGCCTGTTTAGCACCCGTGGCAAAAGCAAAACAACATTGTTGCCACGGTCATTCCCATGAGAACCACGGTGCTTGTATAAAGCCGGCATTTCAAGGGTCCATGGATTTCCCCTGGATTTCCCCAAAAGAGTTTCACCCACTCAGCTTTGGAGCGGCAGTTGAAACCCAGCAGTGTCAAACTGGTTGCCAGCGACTAGGAAAGCTGGTCTTTTCCAACTGGTTCACAGGTTAGTTTGGTCAAACCAAGGAACAGCCAAGTTCACACGCTATACACCTCGAACATAGGCTTTAGCGTCTTTCGGCTTTCGCTGAAAGCCACACTCGCAACATACTTGTCTAACTCGAGCGCAACCTGCCGCGCGGTAGCGTAGGGCGCAATGAGGTTCCAATGAAGCAGAACCAGCAACGCCAACAGTTTGGATCACATTTGGCTTGGCATGGGCCAAAGACACATTAAATGAGAACCGATCAAATGCATCTGACAAAATACACACCTCCAGCCATCCGCGTTTGTGTCCAAACGGCCTCCCCAGTGAGTGGCTCCCTTTACAATCCCCTTTGGGGATACCGTCAAACAATGCAGACCCCTGGGCAAACAATAATTGACTCGCACTTCGTTGAGCTTGCACTATCTTGTGGGATAAGTCACAAATGCCCCTGAAAAAACAAGCTCTAAACATCTGAAAAGGGGCTGAGGTTTTTTTTTGAACTAGCCCCGGCTTTTTACTGGCCCCGGCTCGGCACAAGGCCTCCCTCCAAACATCCCCAGCATTTCCGGTGTCTTGTCAGGGCTGCATATTGGGCATGACTTGATGTTAGTTGACAGTTGCGCGGGCTAGCCGGCCGCATCGCCAGCACTACTGGCCTCACTCGGACGAGCTGCCTATTGGCTTTGATTTGGTGGCAGTTCAGGGTTGCTTGGGGCTGGTTTGGGGTGAGTGTTGGGCTGGATGAGGTCTTAATGAGGGTGGGTCTTGAGTTTGTTTGAGGTTCATTTAGGCTCAGTAAAAGGCTGATATGCAGGATGCGATTGGGATGGTTTAAGGTTGACTTTGGGTTTTGGCTTGGTTGGGGCTGCGCTAGGTGTGCGGCTGGTTTAGCCCCACACCTAGCGCAGATCAGCCCCAACCAAGCCAAAACCGACCCAAAGTCAACCTTAAACCATCCCAACCGCATCCTGCATATCAGGCTTTTACCGAGCCTAAATGAACCTCAAACAAACTCAAGACCCACCCTCATTAAGACCTCATCAAGCCCAACACTCGCCACCAAATCAAAGCCAATAGGCAGCTCTCGAGGCCAGTAATGCTGGCGATGCGGCCGGCTAGCCCGAGCAACTGTCAACTAACATCAAGTCATGCCCAATATGCAGCCCTGACAAGAAACCGGACATGCTGGGGATGCTGGGGATACTGGGGATGCGGCCGCCAGCCAACCAGCCAACCAACCAACCAACCACCAAGCAACCAAGCAACCAAGCAACCAAGCAACCAAGCAACCAACCAACCAACCAGCCTCCTAGCCGGGGTTAAGCCCCGAGCCGGGGCTAGTAAAAAAAACACCGGTTCCCTGAAAAGGGGGGTGGGGATCAAAAATAGGACCGGTTCGACCGGTTCCTGTTTGGTAGCCCGCTTTTTCTGGCCCAACCGACAGTTTCGGCGCTTCCGAGGCGCATTGACCACCTCCCCCAGCAGCGTGCCTTTGCCCCAGACGTAGAGCTCGTCGCGGGCGGTGATCTTAGACATCGATCCGACAGCTCGGGGCCCGTCAGGTGACACCCCAGACCCCGGTTGGCGAACATGCGAACAGCCCGCCTTTCTTTGGAGCTGGTACTCCTTTTGCCGGTTTCAACCCGGAAATCCGAAGGATTTCACCCACCCATTAGGGGTCTTTAAGAAAAATCGAGCCACCCATGTACAGCCAGTGGGTTGCAAAGAAACGGGATCCTAAGAAAACTACCCCAGATGTCCAAAATGGGACATGTGCCCCGAACAATGAACACGGGCACCTCCTACACAAAATACCAGTTCTTTTTTCAGGGTATTTTTTGGGAAAACCTGGTTTGCAAATGGAGGGTCGACACGATACTCTGAAAAAAAAGGCACAATGGACAACTTCTCCTGTCGCCTGTTTGATCCACTCAAAATGCGCCGCAAGATCGAACAAGGTGTTGCAGGAATTCGCCCCCTCCGGAAGTGAAGAAACCAACAAAGACTGCCAAACGTCCCTGACCCGGAGCAAATCAAGTTTCTCCTTTCAGCAAATGAAGTTTCTCCTCTTCCGCTCTCCCAAGCGAAACCAAGTTGAGCTCTTTAGGGGGAGCCTCGCCATTGTCTTCATTCCAATTCGCCTTTCCCTGCTGGTGCGATGAGTAGGGAATGAGAAATGGAATGAACCCAGGAATCGGTCTCCTTAAAGGAAACCACCAGTGGGACAGTTTTTACACCTGGCTTCCCATGGTTAAACAAAAAAAACACCATCTCTTTTGGCAGCGGGTCGACCTGATACCCTGAAAAACGGCGCCGGGTACTTGGAGCTTTCGGGGGTATCCGCCCCCCCCGGGACAAGACGTCAGGACGCCGCCGCGGTGTGGTCGAAGCCCAGCGAGATGTCCCGCACCGGGCGCATCTTCACGCGCTTCGGGAGGAACTGACTTTTGGTGTCCCCCAGGCCCAGCCTCGCGACAAGTGTCTCGCGGAAGTCTCAGGTTGTTCATTGCAATTCTAGCAGGGACCCGGATGCATGAAAAACACCTGAGCATTGCAACTTGTAAATGCCGGTTTCCAACTTTACCTTGGTGTGGAAACAGCCACATGTTTCAAATGGTTGCAACATTTGTATCCTTTACGGAGCCCTGTCCAGTTCCCAAATTTCGGGGCTCCGATTGGTAGAATAGATGATCCCAGCTCAGGGAAAAGTGAAGAACTTGGTGGGTGAAATGGACAACGGAGCCAACGAAAGGCTAGAAGCCCAACTTGGGATGTCTCACCGCGAAGTTGGGACACCCCAGCTTTTCCACATGAAGGTGGGGGAGGGAATGCCAGGCTAAGGCCATCCTCCAGCTCAAGTGCTCCAACCTGACTGATCACAAGGGTTGCTTTCTTTGGCAAAAAGCGGGGATGCAACGGAAGGGGCCAAAGGAAGGACATCCGAACAACATATTCGACAACAGCCCAAAAGGGAAAGATGACAAATGTTCAAACTGCTCTCTTGGTCGGCTTATTGTTCCAGGCGGGTGGTCTTGCGATGAGGAAAGCCCACGAGCGGAATCACAAGACGCTTAACTGGGCTACAAGCATTTCAGAATGTTCCCGCCAAACCTAGCAAAATGTTACAAGCGTCCCAGAATGTTCCTACCAAACCTCCCGTTTTTTGCCTGTCCCGGAGTCTAGCGGTCGGGATGATTCGACACTTGATGCCCGGGAGATCCGGGAGGTTGTTTCACAACCGGGATAAGTTGAGAAACTCACGGATGTTTGCGGAATGCATTTTATAAATACACACATGCCCTCTCACCAACACGACTGACAAGCTGTCAAGCGCTCGCGCATTCCGGGAGGCGCCTCCCGTGCCAGCCATTCCCGAAGGTCCAAAGGAAATTCTCTTCTGCCGACAACTCAGCCTTGGCGGGCCAAGAGTTCCCTCTGAAGCACGGGGATGTTGAGCCTGTTCTGAACAAATGGGAGCCTTGCAGTGTTGGTTTTCTGTCGGCTTCCCTTTCAATCCACCAAAAGAGGGTATCTCATGTAGGAAACAGGCAGCTAGCTTGGTCTCAAATCTTGAGTCGCAAGGGGGGCTGATTTTGAGACAACCTCTTCGCTCCGGGCTCTCGAAGCGGGACTATCCGCTCGTCCCTTTGGGGGGGTGGTCCCTTGAATAGGAATTCGGTTTGTTGACCCCAAGGAATTCGGGGCTCTCAACTACTCCCCTTGCACCGACCCCTCTTAGGGGCACCTGGCCCCCACGTCGGAAAAGTCCGAGCAAACTGTGGGACTTGTCCGTGTGCGACGCCAGAACCAAGTGCACCAAACAGAAAAAGGACATTTCCTTTCAACAACTCCCACATGCATGTAGGAAACGTCGGTTTCCTGCATCTAGGCCTGTGCGATGCAAAGAAACTAGTTTTTGCGGTGTCTTGCTGGAAATGCAGGCCTCCCTCCTTAGAAAACCGTTGGACCCCGTCCCATTGGGAGCGATGTTTGTCTCAACCCTGGGGACCCTCCAGGATGGTTCTCCTTCCCCAGCCCACTTGGTTGACGTGGGAAGGGGAGCAAAAAATCAAATTTTAGCAGTTAAGTGGGGAGTTCAACCACTAAACCACAAGCACAAATGCAAAATATTTCCCAGTAACAACCATGAAAACGGGTATAAAAAAAAAGGACCATCCACATGGGGCTCGGTGGCGGGTGTCCCGGTTGCACATGCGACGTGAGTACCTCACCTGGTTGAATCTTTCGGATTTTCAGCCATCCACTGTGATCCATTTGTCTACGTTTCTTTTCTTCTTTAAACAAATCGACAAATGCCCCAATGCACCTTGCAAGCTGGACACCAAAAGCGCACCCATTTTTCGGGCACACACACCTCATGTGACTGTGGGTCAAAAACAGGGTAACCCCAAAATGGAACCCTGTGGAAGGAAACATGGACTAAAACCTGCGGTCTGGTTTAATTTTGACCCGCCATGTGCCCCCCAGGTCCATGCAGAGACACCTCTGCCCCCCCCCGTCTTTCGCGTGGTCTCCGCGCTCTACGCGCCATGCCGCCGCGCGGCATTGAGCCGCATGGAGGGCTTCAAGTTGCCGCACAGCACCGCGGTGTGGTTGGCGCCGCAGCGCACCTGGAGCCATCGAGTCGACGGGTCGAAGAACTGGAAGAGTTTCGGGTGCCATACAATAAATCGAGTGGGACGAACATGTCAGATGCTGGTTCAGCTGGTCTGGTCGAACATTTTCGGACTGGCGAAGACGCATCCTTTTTAAGGTCTTTGGGATTTGCTTCTCCCAGGACGCGAGCCAAAAATCCAAACTCTGGGGCCGAAGGTCGTTGAGAAGGCGTCTATAATCAAGCTCCAGTGAAGTCAACTTGGTTCCGATCCAAGGATTTTGGTCCAAGGACCTGGGTTCTACGTTGGCTTGTTGAGAGAGCTTTTCCGCACCAGCGCGTGACATGTCGCTTGGAACATCGCGATACGGCGATGCTGAGGCCCATGACTTTGCTCCCTGGGGTGAGGTGACGCCTGCAAAAGCGGGCTTGAACCCCTCCACATAGTTGGCTTCTGACATTAACCAGCTGGAATGCGGGCCACGTATATAGCCAGTGACCAAACGGTCGATCTCTGGCTGCTTCATTTTTGCGTTCCTGAACTCACACGGTCCTGACCTCGCTGAAATCAACGGGGAATTGACCACAAGGAGCTCAAACAGTCTGTGGCAATGATCTTCCCCAAATATCCACCCCCCACCCCCCACCCCCCACCCCTCCATCCAACCTAACCCAACCCAGGAAGCTGAGCTTGGCTTTCGCTCCGGGTCACCGATGGAACCTTATCTACCGAGCTGCCAGCAGCGGGTTCTTCGCAGCCCGCGCATCCTTGTCGCTCAACTCGAATTCGACCTGCGTCGACTTTGCTCCATCCATGGTCCACCCTAAACCTTTTTGGACAACACGGGCACTGCCCGAAGTGCTCGAAAATCACAAGGCTAGAAAAACTTGACAGGGAAACCGAAAAAAATCCCAGGTGCCGTCTTGAGGCTCGCAACTCAAAACGAGTTCGAACCTCCGTGAATAAGATTAGCTCATTGTGGTGACCAGGTGCGGGACATGGCCATGGCTCAAAATCCAATTCGTGCCCCCAGTAAACATCCCAATCCAACCACTAAAATAGACTAAAATGGGTGGTGAATTCACCTACCCCAAAATGGGATTCCATTGGTTTTGACCCACAGCCACATAAGTGACCAGGTGCGTGAGGAATGAGAGTCAGTTAGTTCACAGGCTGGCCTTTGCGGCTCCTTGCATGGCGTTTTCCCGTGGCATGCGAAGCCTCGGATGTTCTATGAGGTGACCCAGAAAAATCACTGTCTTTTAGACCGCAAACCTTCTGCGAAGCGAACGGTATACGTGTAAATGTCGTACCAGGCAAACAGCGCGCAGGCCGGCTGTGAACTTGCACTCCCCGGCCATTTTACGGGCACCTTCAATCATCACAGGACACCTCCCTTGGCCCAACACATAAACGCAGACATGAGTTTTGATTCGGGACCCTGCGGACCTCAAAATTCGGTACCACTTCAGGTTGACCCACCCCCCCTTTACTGTGGATGGTTGCGAAATCCATTTCCCAGCTAAGAAACCATGGTCGAAAAAAACCACTGCTTGTGTTTGTTTTTTTCCAGGGAATCAGACCATAGGGCTTCTGAACTGTGATGCGAGACGCGGATTTCGTGCATCCCCCCCACCCCGCCCCGCCTGGTTGGGCTGGTTGCAGGGCCCGCAGGTGATGAAGTTCCCCAAGCCCAGCACCCCGCTGTCGGCCATGCCCCAGGTGTACAGCAAACCTAACCGCTACCGGCGTCCGGAGATTTCGGGGTCGAAACCGCCGGAAACGTTTCGGGAGCCGGGAACTCACTGCTCAAAAAACGCGGTACTCCAAAATGGCCCCTAAATGGACACAAAGACCACCTGCGTAACCCTGGCTCCTAAATTTTGAGCCACACCCTCCGATCAAGTGGATTGGCCAAAAGAAGTGACCAAGTTTTTTCTTACTGCTCTCCAGTCCACTAAGCTAGCCTTCCAGGACCCCTCAGTCAGGTTCCATGTTAGTGGAAAGCAGGGGTCTTCCCAAAGAGGATAAAGTCGATTGGGAGTGAAGGAAAGTCGGGAACCCGTGAAGAAGGCACCAAACAATCGCTTGGTCTGATACGGGTTGGGTTGAGTCGGTTTGGCTTGGGTTGGTCGCCTGGAAGCATCCGACAGGACATACGCAAGACACTATGGTTGATCACATCTGCCCCTCCTGGCAACACACACACACACACAAACACACGCACACACACGCGCACACACACGCGCACACACACACACACACTTGGGGGTAGGTCAAAGGGCCGGGGAAGCAACAAACAACCCCTGCATGTCCTCCTGGGAGTCGCCTGATTCGTAACCTCTGTCCAGAAGGCTTGGGAACACTTGTCCAAATCCAGATAGGTAACGAAGGAAAACAAACAGAGGTAAAACGTAGACATGAACGAAAAGCTGGTGCTTGAAAAAGCCAACGAGCACATACTGGCACCTGCAAAATCATGCAAAAAACAAACAAATTCCGGTGAAACGTTTAAAAAAAACAGCCACCCAACATAGGGCTAGACTGTAGGAACCGTCATCACAGGGTTGTTGGTTGCAGAGCAAAACACACGCGGGGTCGCAGAACGCAGTTGGAAAGCAGGGAAGGTTGGGCAGTCCCGAAAAAAAAAAAAAAAAAAAAAAAAAAAAAACGTGCGCTGTCGTCTTTTTGTGTGCTAATAGGCTATGCCCTCTTACGGACATGCAGGTAACAAGATCCACCAGCTGTTAGCTTCTTCTACATTTTACCTTGGGAACTCTTTGGTGGACCACTGGGGTATCAAATGTCCAACCCCTTGAAAGGCTTCCGTATCGAAAAGGAAGGGCGAAGAGGAGATGTAAAAATTGGGGATCCATTGAGAGGCTTCCCTCCATTTGGGACCCTCTTGGAGAATTGGCGAATGAGACTCCTGAAATCTCCTGAAGAGTCAAAATTCTGGCGGTTATACTAGCGCCACCTTTCTTTCAAGGTTTGGAGCCCAGGGTTGTTGCCTCCGCAGCTTTCAGGATATTGAAATTCATGGCAAAGGAACACCACCATTTTTGGGTGCCCCCCAAACGAACCCTCCCCCCAAAAAAGAAACGGTAAAAGGGCACTACTGGGGGACCAAGCTTGCATCTCTTTGCGCCGGGCCACGTGTGCCATCCGTGTCCTCCACAATGGCCGCGCTGTGTTGCCTCAGGCTCCGACGCTGCCCGGGCGATTTTGCTTCTTCGTTGGAAGGGGGGGGGGTCCATGTGTTGGTTTCCGTTGGGTTCAGCTGGTTTCGGTTGGTTTCCGCTGGGTTCCGTTGATTTCCGTTGGTTTCCGGTAGTGGTCCATATTTGAAATGTTCCATGTACCCACACAGGGAAACATGGAAAAAGGTCCTGCGGGCCGTACGTTTCCCATCCAAGCATTGGGATATAATCGAAAGGGGCCCTAAAAAGTGGAACACCTCCCCACCCTAAAACACACTAATGCCCCGGTGTCCCTCACTATATAAAATGGAAGGAACCAGGGCCACGTGCCCACATTGCAGTTAAGCCATCTCATCAAAACAATAGAGTTTCTGGTGTTTGCTTCTCTTTCAGTCACTCAAAACCAACAAGGTCACACATCTATCAAGTGCCTCTCCCCACCAAACCCGCCCCCCAGCCCCCCCGCCCCGCCCAAATCCCCCCACCCAACCCCAATTCAAAAAAACCAGCGAGAGGCTCGCCGGCTGCGCACGAGAGCACCTTCTCCAGGCCAATGCGTGTCGGTTCCCTCTCATCTCCTGAGACGGTGGCACTTTTTTGTCGAGCCCAAGAGGCTTTCTTTGTTGGTCTTTTTGGAGGGTCTTTGGTAGGGTCTTCTTTGGTAGGGTCTTCTTTGGTAGGGTCTTCTTTGGTAGGGTCTTCTTTGGTAGGGTTTTCTTTGGTAGGGTCTTTTTGCAGGCCCTGAGTCCGGGGTTGGGTCTTTTTGGGTATGGTTGGGCCTTCATTGGGTAGGGGTTGCCCTTTGTTGGGAGAGGTGGGCCTGTTTTGCAGGGTTTGATCTTCTTTTGATAGGATCCCTTCTTTTTCTGCCAGGGTAGGCTTTGGCCATTGCTTGGGTGGGTACTAAAATCGATGGTCTAAAGACCTCAGGTGTCCTCAAAAGGCCAAGGAGAAAACTGCCTCAAAATCTCACCAAAGAAACTGGATACGAATGGGCTAGGTACAGACACCGGGGCGATTCATCTGCAGGGATAGTGCCCTTCTGTTAAGAGGTCATTCCGTCTCGAAACGAACTGTTAAAAGCGGCGCTGACAAGTCGGACAAAGGTATGAGCCCTATTAAAACATCACAGGGACCAAATCCTTTCCATACGAGTACCAAATTCGTGGGTAAAATTGTTGATACCGATTTGCGCAACACTTTCTAAACAAGGGGACCAGCCCATGAAGGCGACGGTGTCCCATGAAACCAACCCAACGAGTACCAACTCCAACAGAAAGAGGAGCTACCCAGAGAATCACAAAAAAAACACGCACTGGGCACCCGTTGCTGAGCCAAATCCACCCAAAAAAAGTTCCAGCACTTCTGTGAAATCAGCTTTTACTTGCGCATGAATATCCCCCCCAAAATCACCTCAGAATACCCCAACCCCCAAAAAAAACAAACAAACACCCTAAGAATACCCCAACGGAGAGAAGAAAAAAAAAGGTTCTTCCCCTAAGAATACCCCAGCAACCCAACAAAAACACAAAAGTCGGGTGTCACCGATGGATCCCTCCCTCCGGTCCACAAGCCCGAGCCCGGCCTCCCGGCCGTCTAGTGGGCCACGGGTCAACTCCAAAGCCCGTGCAGCGCACATCAGATTCGATCCAAGCACTAAAATAGGTTCTGGAAGATTCAAAATGGCAAAATGTTTCCCAACAACAACCATGATCAAGTATGGCCAATGCTCAGATGCCCAGTGGCCATGGGGGAAAAAGGGCACCCTTTTTTGTTGGTTGGGTTTAAAGGGGAACCCTTACCCAAAAAAAAGGGAAGGAAAAAACCATTGGGCAACGGAGTATGAAGGAGTTGACACATGACATTCGTTCAGAATCGGAAACAGACCTGAGACCCCAGTCAGATCCGGGCCGGACCTGGGCCACTGGCCTAGCCCACTGAAGCCACCCTCAAAAGTGAAGTTCAGAAGAAAAATTGCCCTCTTTCCAACAATCATGGAAGCTGACAGGAGGGTTTTGGAAGCCTACTTTCCTCTCGGGGCACTGCCCGGAACCCACTTCCACGTTTTCCACGATTGTTGGAAAGAGGCCGCAGACCGGCGCTCGAAGCATCCGATGGTGGCGGCGGTAAAAAATCCAAGGCGCTACAATGCCCCAGGCCCAGCTGACCCTCGGAGCCCTTGCCCCAGGCAAAGATCTCCTGTTGGTTGGTGACGGCCAGCGTGAACCTGAGGCAGAGGGCCCCTCTGCGAACAAGTTCTTCAAGGGCTTGAACGTAAGGCTAAAGGCTGATTTGGGCTGGCCCCCGCCCTCTCCCTCCCTGCCTGCCTCCCTCCCCCCAGCCCTCATAAGGCTTTCATTTAGCCACCATGTCTTTTCATTGATTCAAGGGAAAAACATAGGTAATGTGCAACAGAACAGAAACTCATCAAGAAATAGCCAGGAGTTCAGCGTTTTTGGTATGAAACACCAAGACCCACCCATCCCCTACCTCATTCCCTTCGGGCTTTGTCCATGCCCTTCAACCTCGCAGACCTGCTTTCCCAAACAGTCGCTTGGCTTCGGAGTCATTTCCGACATCAAAGTGAGCACCATCCGGGAGGATCCAAGGATGGTCGGTTCATCTCCAAAGAAAACAAAACAAGGGGTCACGCCAGCTTTCTGCTTGTACACCCGGCTCCAGCTTGCCCAGCGTGGCTCTATGGCCTGCGTCGAGCAGCGCCTGCGCTTTGGCGATCGCACCGAGGTTGCAAAGTACCGCTGCATGCCGGGGACCGTTTGCGTGCTCAATGGCTGGGTGGCGTGGGGCTGGGCAGGCCGCAAGCTGTCACATATTTCACACCAACCATGCGTGGACAATCCAGCGCGCTGCGAGTGGACAAGTTTGCAACGCCCGCGCCCGTGCACGTGTGCGGGCAACTATTCCTTGTACGCATGCGTAGACAATCTCGCGAGCAACGCGCCACGCGCGCGTTCAGGCACGCGTGTGCAATTAAATTAGGTGACGTGCCATGCGTGCACGACCAGTGCGGGCGCACATGCGTGTAGGGCCAAATCTGCTTTGGCCGTCGCTTATGAATTGGCCTTGAGCGCATGTGCGGTGCTGCGCGTCCTGCTCAGCGGGCTGCGTGTCCTCCAGCTGGGGTGTCCTGCGGCTTGAGGGCGGCCATGAACTGCGCCACGCGCCGAGCACGTCTTTCAAAGCATCCGGCGTCCCCCTCGGGAATTTCCTGTGTCGCGGGCATTGCGCCCGCGCGGTCGCATGGCTCAATGCGAATGTGGGAATGGCGGACTGCCGGCGTTGAGGGGGCATTTGCACGCGAGAAGCACAGGTTTTCACGGGCCTTTTGTGTAAGGCGACAAGGCGCAGTGGCCCGCCTGTTGCCCCTTGAAGGGCCCTAGTCCATCGACGAGCAGAGTAGGGGCTTGCAGTGTTGGAGGGCGCGTCCTTTGACAGGGCGGAAGCGTGCCAAAAGCACATGTTTCACACTGACAAAATACAGATCGGCAAGCTTTGCATCTGGCGCCCCAGCAACCCACTCGGCCGGATCTGGCGTGAATTCAGCACGTAATTCATAAGACAGCCGCCTTCGCCTGAGTGTCCTTTTCTGAGGTCCATGACCTAGACGTGGTCACAGGACAAGGTCAAAAGTCCGTTCGGGCAGCTTCAGGCTCAGACTGCGCAATCTCCATGAAAGACCATGGAGGCAATGCCAGCCAGCGCGTGAAAGCTTCGCGCAGCAGAAGCGCAAGGTGCTTTCCAAAGCACCCGCTGTAGGCCCTCAAAACATGCACTACTTACGCCACGCGCAGTCAACCAGCAGAAAGCTAGCCTTAGCGGCGGCTAGCGCCAAGCGCCGTCATAGGGGCGCAGCGTGGGAGGCATCCGTGTCAGCTCTCTTCACGTGACTCGCGCTGGTTCGCGCACGTCAAGGGTCGTTGCTGTAAACCACGCGCCCTGCGCCCGGCCAGCACACGCGCCAAGGCCTCAGCTTGGCCACACGGTGCGCCCACCTCTCGAGGCTTCAGCAACAAAAGTGCAAACAGCCAACCACGGGCGATCAAGCGCCGCGTGTCGACAAAAGTGCACGGGCAACAAAGCCCCTCGCATGACAACTGTGCGTGTCATGAGCATCGACAATCGCATGCGTGTTCTGCAAACCATGGGTGGCAACCATGAGTGGCCAACTGTGCGTGAACAAGCCACGCGCAACCATCACATCAGAGTACCAAAGTCCTGGAGGCATTTATAAGTAGACATGTTTTACATTTAATAGTGCAAGTACTATAAAAACCCAACTCCCGTTTAGCACTTTAACAAGTCCAAACGCCACTCAAGGTATGCTTTGTTTCGCGAGGCATTTCTGGTGATGTGAAACTGAAACGATTTTCAGGCGTTCCATGCACGTGGAATTCGGTACCCAACCAAGACCTCTAGAGAGCAAGAAGAGAGAACTGAGATGCAACAGGCTAACCTGTTGGCTAGGATCATTCGAATACCACAAATTTATCTCACTTCCGATCGAGTGGATTGGCCGCTGGCCAAACAAAGTCCTTTTTTAGCACTAACGTGGTCTTGCAAGCAGTTTAAAGTCCAGGAAATCAGGGAGTGAGTTATGAATTCCATTCTTCTATGCCGTCCAGAAAGATGATTCAAACCGGTCGATGTGGAGGGTATGATTTCGCGCCCCATTGACTATTTCCCCCTTTCCAAATCCAAACTTGCTGGCTAAACAGGGATCCTTACATAATACACCTGAACATTGCCTTGTAAATGGTGGTTTCCCTTTATTTTGGTGTTGAAAAAGCCATGTTTCAAATGGTTGCAAAATGTATCTCTTAAGGAGCCCTGCTAAACCCAGGACGATCTTTCCAAATGGTAAGTCCAAACACTTGTCTCCTTTGAATGGGGCAGGCTCTTGTCTCATCGTCTTGCGTGTCTCATCCGTTTTGACCGAAATCCATGTGCATCCAAATCCTAGAAAGATGACGCCCCTTCCGTTGCCTTTCGATTTGCTGCCGGCATCTTACATAGTGTTGGCAACCCACGAAGTTGGATCAGCTTCCGCAAGAATCGTTCTCCACTTTGATCGCCACCCCTTGCGATGAGAGTCCAGCCCAAGTGGGCGACAGCTGAGATCCACGTACCAAGTAAGCCATGGAATGTGGTTATCATGGCAGGAAAATAGGCATGGCTCATTTTGGGATCAACTGATCTGTGGCAAAAGCCCAAATGACTGGTGTGTATGTCAAACCGGGAAGAGACTGGATGCTGCGCTATTGCACTATCCGTGGTTTCCTACAGGTCCCCATGTCCTCATTGGGGCGGCTTAGGCAATCACCCTTGGCGAATAAAAAGTAAGTGCCCTCTTCTTGGTGTGATGTTGAAAGGTTGCCGGCCGTCAGAAGGGACATCTGCAGAAATTGAAAAAGCGCCCGATTGTTCTCCTTATGGGACAAACATCAATAGGGTGGCCGTATTCTGTCTTCGAACGTTTGTACCAAAACTAATGGGACACGAGCAATTAATCTGTTCTCCCATAGGGTTATTTTCCCAGAATGAACATGTAGGGACCGAATCCGCCTCCCTTCGCTTGCGCTTGAGCCCTCGCCGGGGCCAAGACTCGTGTCCGCAGCAAATCTGCGGGGCCGGTCGGGCGAGCAGGTCTAATCCGCTGCCAAACGTTCTTGGCATACCTAAGGAAACATGGATCACTTGTGGACCAACCATATCATTTTGTCCAAGGTAGATCTAGAAAAGGACTATCCCGTGAAAGCAACCATGCAGTTCTGTCTAGTGCCCTTGGCGATTGGGATTATCATTCGGCCTGATCTCAGATCCGAATGACAAAACAAGAATATAAACTCCGCAGGGATCATGCCCACATCGACTGTCGAGACCCTTTTTGGAGCGTCAAAGGGAGCCCAAGGGAAACTACATGAGTCACAATCAAAACCCGGTACACAAATGGTCGACCCAGAACCATGTAAAGAACTAAGAAGGCGGCCGCAGCTATTTATGGCTGGGATCGCCCTTTACTAACCTTCAAATACCCGGGTTTTGATTGTGGCTCACATGGGTTCGGCACCAATCGTCAAACTGAAAAAATCCAAAGGAGCAAAGCTAAGAGTTCCCAGCGAGTGGCCCGTCTGGCCATGTTCTCGTATCCCTGTCCCCAAGAAATTCCAAGAGGCACCGTGCTCAAGAACCTCTACCATGGGAAATCATAATTTGTCAGTATTTACAGGAGAATCATCAGCAACCAGGGTGTCTTAGGTGGTGCGAAATGAGGATTTTGTCCATCCACAGTCAGGGCGCCAGCTCGGGAGTTTGACTGTAGCCACTGGGGATCACCAACTGTCTTGGCGGAAGTTGGCAGGCCGCTTCTGGCCCTGAGGCTTACCAGACATGACACTTCCCCACATCGAAGGTCGGCAGTGCTGTGGAAAGTGGTTTCACCACCATAAACCGTGTGATGGCGTGCCATATCGTCGGACACTGACGCGCAACCCACACTCTGCTCCAGATCTAGTCTATCCCAACATAAAAAAGATGAACAGTTGTCCCAAGAACTCACCTTCTGAGTGGACTGGCCAAACTTCTCATTCACCACTACGCCACCAAAATGGTCCAGCCCTAACCAGTGGCCAAAGTTCGGAACTCGGAACTCAGGACGTGAGCAACTTTTTACGTCGCCTCCCAAAAAGCAAGACGCTGTTCATTTACTACATGGTCCAACCCCCAGAAAAACGGGCTCAAGCCCCGAAATCCAGAAAAAGCGAGCACACCTTCCCAAAGCGCGCGCGCCAAAGGCGGCGCTCCCATGCCATGCCATTGCCCCCCCCCCCCCAAACCCCCCCCGCCCGCTCGCTCTCAGACCAACCCCCCCGCCTGCTTCACCGAGCGGCCAGGGATCATCAGCTCCTTGGGCACCCAGAAGTAGCTCTGCGCGTCGTCGCCTGCCAAACAAAAAAAACGAAGGCCCGAGGCCCAAGGCGCCCACTGGGCCAAGGGCTTTTAGGCAAAGAAACCAAACCCCAATGCATGAGACGGTTATATATATATATATATATATGCAGATAAAACCAAGACCTGCTGGTTGATGTGCTTTTCTAGTTGTTCGGTTGGTGCCAATTGGAGATACTTGCTTTTTAGGTGTTTCAATCCTTAATCCAAAATGTCAGGTTGATGTGCTTTTCCAGTTCGTGGGAACTCGGGGGAACTTCCTAGCTAGTGGGGGGAAACCGTCATCCTCCGAAATTTGACGAGCTAGAGGTTGCGTCCATTTCTTGCCGGGAAACCCAAAAGGATAACAAGCCTTTTGCGGGTCCCCGCAAAAAAAAGAGAGCCATATCCTTCAATTGCGAGTTCTGACTTGCAGCACTTCAATGCAAGCGCCACACGCAGCTTGTGATTGCACAACACAAGTCTAATCAGTGCCACTATAACAAGGACCAACTCTCAGGGATGCATGAAGCATCATGAAGCTGTCGTGAATGTTGGTTCTTTAAGCTGGACACTGACAAATCGACTGGATCCGCCTCCAAACTCCAAACCAAAGTCGACTCTTCTGAAGGTGCAAGAGTTGAGGGTGTGGATTCGTCAGATGCAAGCCGGAGACGCCGCATTTCGGGCCATTTGCCGGTGCCTCCGGCTCAAACCTGATTCAATTCGAGAGTATAATAAACCTCAGTTGCCCCTATGGGACCTGGAACTAAAAGGTGATCACCTTTTGGGGCCATGACTAAAAATCGACCAACATGTTGCAAAACCAAAAAGGTCAAAAGGTCGGCTTTGAACAACTGAGAAACAGCTCGAACGCACCCTGCCTAGAGCTCCAACCATCTCCACAGAGCCAAGCCCCACGCTTGAAAACCGCCACGGCTCTATTTCCGGAGGCCCCCGAAATACGACTTGGCCACACGAATGGGCCAGGCCACGAATGGGCGTTCCAGTGGGAACATGTGCAGTGAGTCCCTATTGCGGCTGAAAATCGCATACCACACGAGTGTATGTATATGTACATATGTACCTGTGTATATATATATATATACATACACGATAAATCCCCTTAAGACCAACAGGGGGAAATAACACATACCCTTCAGCAAGGGGAAGTATATATATATATATACAAATACACATATATTATATATACTGTACGTGTATACAACATGCCCAGTTCATCTCTCCCCGACCCCCCCCACAACCACCCACCCCCACCTCAACACCACCCTCCGACCCATTTTTTCGGTCGCTTCCTGCGAAGCCCAGCTCGCCGGAGGAGTTGGCGCCCCAACCGTAGATGTGGCCCCCCAAGGTGCGGGCGAAGCTGTGGGTGGTGCCACAGCCTCGACAAACGAGCCGTGCCCTCAAAACCCAGGTAGATGAAGATGAGCAAGGGAATCCCAACCAAAAATAGCTGAGGATGTCCGGCTTCTTAATTCTTTACGTGGTTCGGGGTGAACCATTTTTGTACCGGGCTTTGATTATGACTCACTTGGGATTCTTTGACAAACGTAGGGTGCGAGGGTTCCATTTGCCGGGCCTCAGACCCCTCGGTTAATTTATTTTTGTTTTCTGGTTGTCTGACGAATTGAGGGCAATGGCTTGGAACATGGTCCTCGGAAAGGGACCATTTCCCGAACATCACTTTCCATGTTGATTGGTGGGAGGCCTTCTTTATGGGTAGTTTGAGGATCCAAGTACCTGCTTGTTCATCTTGGTTCAAAGGGAAACCCAAACGAGACCAATGATCTATTCTTGAGGGTTCCCCTCTCACACATGTCAGTAGCCAAGTGATGCTCGCCCCATCCAACAAGGGGACACACCACTTGTCCAGGACTCCGACCAAACCCAGACGAACCAACAACTTGAATTTGTGCTTCGGCCTTTCTCTGCTCAGCGTTGCGCAACACAAGTACTGTAGAATCGGGTATCTGTCGTAAATACTGTGGCTGGATGAAATCCTGCACCACCTAACAAGCCCTGGAATGGTCTGATTCCCTGTAAATACCAACAAACAGTGGTTTCGCATGGTTTCTTAGGTGGTGCAGGATTTCGTCCATCCACAGTAGGGGGGACCTCCAAATGGCTGTTTTCCTTTTCATTTTTAAGCCGAGATGAAAGGGCCCCTCAAAAAGCACTCACCCAACCGTGTAGCGACGTGCGGAACATGGTCCGCCAAATGTCGCGCTGCTGCTGCAGATCCAAACACAAAGCAAGTAGAGTTTGCCTAGCAGCCTAGCAGCCAGCCAGCCTTCATGGCAAACATTCAAACACGCTAGCAGCCAGTTTTCGCTTGCTTGTGAACTTAGAAACCAAAGGCAGACCCCCAAAAAGAAAGTGCCAGCTGCGCCAAACTGCAAACAACTGCTGAGCAAGTACTAATACCTGCGTTTCGCAATAGTGCTTTGGAAGGAAGCCCATCTGAAACATGTGACACCAACTCTTGGGTGCCCTCAACCTGGATGCTCGAAGAACCGGTTTGCATGCCGCATTTGCAAATCCACCCCGAGATATTCAAAGGAGCGCTCAAAGTGTACTAAAACCGGACGGGGGGGGGGGGGGAGGGGTGAGAAACACAGGCGGAATCCACAACGAGCGGATCACCCCGTTTAAAGTTGGCAAACAAAAATTAGGTGAATAAAAACTCCATTCCGCCCCTTCCTTTCATCTCGTAATATCTACATTTACGGCTTTGGCATCTTATCTTCTTGTCTGTGTGCGTGAGAACTGCATGGATGATGACCACGCCCACGTTGGTGACACAACCAAGAAACGAATTTGCCCAGTCACCAACCAAGCACAATAAGGCCTCCCTAGAAAGAACACCGTCCGGGCCAGCGTGAGCCCTTCATCCAAGCGGCTCAGATCCACCAAGTCGTAAGAAGTCGCCTGACCAAATGCCGCCGAAAGTGAGCCTTTTGACAAGGCCAAAGCATCTTTAACATGCTTGGATGTCAAGAAACTTGACAGCTTGCATTGGAGATGTGATTCAGAGCGGTTTGAAGTTTTCACCCTTCGAACTTGATGGCGAACTAGGCCAAACAAACGGAAGCCCAAGCCCGGGCTTTGAGAACTGCTGACGCTTCCGAGGGATGGCTGGAGGGCAGTGAAGCTCAAAGATGTACAGTAACATGGGTGTGTCATGGGGCGATCAAAAAATTCGTTCTTTCGTGTTGGTCTCGCTTGAAAACACGCCCTAAAGGGTAATCCCCCAAGGCTATACCCATACTCAGATATGGGAAAACAAGGCATCCTTGTTCGCTTGGTTAAGTTCAAAAAGGGAACCCTTTCCCCAAAAAAGGGGAACAAGGCGCCACTGGGCGACTGGATGCAACTGGGCATCCGCCGATCTCCCGGCCTCTTCGCCTTGCCAGCTCTTCAAGGACTCCAAGTCCTCCCGAAAGAGCTTGCGGACAAGCACGTGGCACTGGACAAATCAGCATTCAATCACTTCACACAGGCCCATTATATATATTATATATACACACATATAATACATATATATATGTATGGGGTTGATCAAAAGGTGCTGTACATGGGATGATCATTGGGGTAACCACAAACATGACGATATTTGCCACTAAATGGGAAAGTGACCCATGGTCATTTGGGGCCCAGCAATATAGGTCAACCCCAATATCATATGTATATAAGTGTGTATATATATATATATATATTTGCAGGTGTGCGTGCAAAACTGTTACTGCCTGCTGAGTCGCCTTCTAAAGCACTTGCAAAGGGTTGTCTCTGCTACGCAAAAAGTTTGCGGACGCGATGCGTTCCAGTCATCGAACACTTGCGTTGGAATCGAGCATTGCTATCCTGGAAAACAGGATGCCCTGACACCACATGATGATTGTGCTCAGCAACCCCCTCCCCCCCAAATCACTTGAGTTTGGGGGGGAAGTCCCCTTCAACACCAGCCTGGCCTCATGGGGAAACAAGGACACTCGTTACTTGTTGGATAATTCCAAAGGGATACCCAGCCCATGAAAAGGAAGACGAGGTCAAGGTGACACTCGAAACTGAATCTAAATCAAAATAGTCGTCCAATCCAAAGGCCGAATTCAACGACTCAAGGGCAGCCGGATGTGATAGATGGAGCTTCTACACTTGCCAGTCAGCACGTCAATGGTCTTGCAGCCCAAAGCGCATCTGTCCTGTTCTGTCCTTGGTGCACAAAGAGCCGGGCAATCCATCTTGCCAAATCGAGAATCCCTCATGTTCTCAGCATACAGCGGCTCTTGGTGGTTCCCATGAAAAAGGTTCCCATTACAAACAAATGAGCGTATTTCATTCTTGGATACCTGTTGGCCTGGCTTCGAGGGGAAGCCCAAAGGAAACCAACCATTCTTTGAGGTTCCCTACTTCACACTTCCTCCCACTAACATGGCACCTGACAGTGGAAACTTATTTTCCAGGTACCCTCCCACAAGCGCCACGTTCGCGGGAGGGAGGGCAAGACAAACCAAATCACCCCAAAAGGAGAAGCACATTCTGACCAGGCGGCGTCCGCCCTGCTTCGGAGCGGCCATCGATGCTCTCCTTGGCGCCAAATACCCATTGGAACGGGGTTCGAAGAAGTGGGTTCTCCGTATGGCTCCTTGCCCCCATTAAAAGAATGGCAAAGACCCAATTTGGATGATGAAACTCCTTAGGTACATAATGGTGGCTATATAACCCCGCTTTGGTTTAATGGTGCCTTGAACCCCAGGGTTCTGTGCTGCGCAGATGTTTGTTCTTTGGTGCAAGCTGAAACCCGTTTATATACTATCCGATAGAACCCGCAAAAAGGGCCCTGTTCGGTGGATTACAATCATTCACCAACTGAACTACGGGACGGCAAAGGATGGTATTTCCCGTCCATGGCTCCTTCCTCTACTTCTTTTTAAGTCCACATGAACCGCTCTGGCAAACAAAGGATCGAGACCTCGAACAGGGACAAATTGCTGCAGCCATGGGCCACAACGCAAGGGCAAAACACAAGTTGGGTGATGCCCTAAACCGGATCTGGCCCTGGCAAAAATGAAAACATGTCCAGTGATAAATTCCCGAACAAAATTTAACAAAGGGGAAATACCACATATTCTTAAGCAAGTGGACGTTTATGTAAAGTATCGATTGTGGCCACCGTCTCCCTGCCTCCCTCCCTCCCTCCCTCCCTCCCTCCCTCCCTGCCTCCCTGCCTCCCTGCCTCCCTGCCTCCCTGCCTCCCTGCCTCCCTGCCTCCCTGCCTCCCTGCCTCCCTGCCTCCCTGCCTCCCTGCTTCTCTCTCTCTCTCTCTCTCTCTCTCTCTCTCTCTCTCTCTCTCTCTCTGTCTCTCTGTCTCTCTGTCTCTCTGTCTCTCTGTCTCTCTGTCTCTCTGTCTCTCTGTCTCTCTGTCTCTCAGTGTCTGTCTCTCTGTCTCTCTGTCTCTCTGTCTCTCTGTCTCTCTGCCTCTCTGTTCTGCCTGTCTGTCAGTCTGTTCGTCTGTCTGTCTCTGAAAGTTTCAGAGCCTACTATCTACAAGCTCAAAGTTTGCTCTATAATATATAACCAGCAATTGCTGTCCTGTGTGAGAGCCCGTTCATCATAAACTGATGCGTGCATGCTGCGTACCCCATTCCAGCAGCATTTGGGCCATGTTCCAAGAGGATCCCGGTTTAGACACCTGTCAGAACGGACATACTATAACATACGTCATTGGGGGTAGACTCCCACTTCTGTGATACTCGGAAACTGCTATCAGCAGCAAGCCCGCCCTTTCGAGCTGGTGGATGGACATAATTTTGCACCAGTTGGTGTGGTTTATCTCAGTGTTCATGGGGCTTCATGCATCCTTAAATGAAACTGACTCCCCACAATTGCTGCAATAAACCACCAACCAACCGGTGCAGCGTTCTACCCATCCACAGCATCGCAGTACTTTAGAATTGTTGCTCAAGCAAATGTTAGACAAGCAGCTGGCCCTACTAACTACTACCTTACACCCATTCTAGGACTATTTTCTTCCATTTGCTTCAAGTGATTTGGAAGGACGTTGCTGGTCTTTTGCGCTCGTACCCTCTTTCGGGCTCCCTGCAAAGGAAAACCAAAGGCGACACCCACGGCCTTCGGCGCTACGCTGCGCCTCCCTCGTTTCGGCCAAGGCGCGGCGTTGCGGCCAGGCTCCTGACGATGGAAGCACACGGAAGCCGAAGGAACCGCTTTTGGTTGGGGAGGCCAAGGAAAGCCTAAGACAACCCGAGGAAAGCCTAGGGAAACCTAAGAAAACGTAAGCCTAAGGGAACAAATGAGGAAAGTTGCAAGGCCAACAGCTTTGGTTGTGGCCAGTCCTCAGTTTTCTTGCATGTTTTGGAGGAACCGCAAGGACATATTGGCGGGGGGTCAAAAATAAGTACCCGAAATGGAACCCTGGCAAATGGAAACGATGACTAAAACCTTCTGTCCCCTGGCAGTTTGACCTTTACGCATACCCTGGGTTTTGGGTGTATGTCATGCTGCATGTCACCTCTGCGTGTACCGCCGTCTGGAGGCTGTGACCTACATAACGCCAGCAAGGAGTTCACTCCTTGATACTGTTGATGGACGAAATCCATTTGCCACCACGTTGAAACCATTGTTTGTTGGCATTTAGCAGGGAATCAAATCATTCCAGGGTTTCTTAGGTGGTGCGAAATGGATTTCCTCCATCCACAGTGTGTTTGTAGTTCGAATCATCCGGGTCGACTGGCCCAGCTTGGCCTTCACGCTGAACGCGTTGGTTTCCACCGGGAAGTGAGCTGCATGGATCTCTGATTTGGCTGACAACTTCATTTTTACGTTTGTAAACGCATGTGTGACTGTTGGCTTCCTTGTAACCCTCATAGAAAAGCTGCATGCGTCGATCTCTGGCTGAAAGAAGCTGCATTCAGTGTTCAAAGTTTCCAAGTAGGGGCAACTTGAATACAAGAAACACACCCCGCCAATGTACATGGAACCTGAGGTTCGGGGCTCCAGTTACAAGGAACATGGTCCAAGCCACCGAATCCCCCAACCTCGAACGGTTCCATGTGAATTGGGAGGGTAACCCAGATCAGAGGCCCCTAAGACCCGATCAAAGGCCTCCAGGGCCCTGAGTTGGACTTTTTTCGCTTTTTGGGTTTGGACCATTCAAGTAAGCAAGGGCCCACAGATGCCTCTACACGGGCTGTCCCTTTCCCTTGGAGTTCTTTTTTCCTGTGCTAACAACGTCACACTTGGGATGTTGACCTACCCATGCGACAGTTGCAAACCTGCAAAACACACCCGAACAAGCAGCACACTGGAAACAACACGGCCCCCTTTCAGCAAGCCCCATATCAGCTGCTTCTTGCAGCGCTTCCTTCCTAACAAAGACATCCTCCTAAAGAGCGCTTCCCACTCGCTTCTCTACTTCAAACAGGCCGGGCCCGATCCTCAACGATGGCAACTTGCTTGCTGCCAAGGCGTGCCATGGAGCCGCATGAACAAAACGGCCCCCCAAATCCGACCCTATCACTGGGTTCGACCCATCGGGCAACCTGGTCCTCTGATTTCTCCTTCTGCTTTTGGCTGCCCATAACAAACAAAATCCGACTTCGCACACCGCACTTTTCTTGAGGGCGTGGTTTCAACAGGTATTTCATGAACAGGCCTTTGTTCTTGAGACAACGCATACTCTATCACACTCTTGACAACTTCACGACCGACCCTGGGACTTCTTCGCTTCTCACGTCAGTCTTTTCTCGGCTTGAGCCAAACAACACGGCTGCACCTCTTGCACCGGCTGGCAAGCGGCTCTTGCTCGAATGTACAGTATGCGTACATACTGTATATTGACCGCGGCTATGAACCCCCGCGCAAAATGGCTTAATCAACCACGTGCGGTAAACCGGGCAAGGGGGCCAACGGGGGGGGGTGACCATATATATATAAAGATAGAAAGGTAAGTACTGTAATACATTGGGGGGGTGTTCTCAGCGTGATTCCTTCTGGTTTCTTTTTGGCTCACCCGACATGAGAAACTGAGATTCTATCCATCAGGTTGAACATCTGACACGTGCCCCATGTCCGCACGAAATCAACCGTTGAATGACCATGTGGTAATAGGAATGGAGGAGTTTCCTTTTTGTCCCCCTTTTCTCACCAACCTACTAATGGAGCCCTCAAAATAACACCCCCCCATATTGATGGTTTCACGCATGAAAGTCTTGCTTTGAACTCAGCCTCTTGACCGCTTTGAAAAACTCACGACAAGGGTCCAAAGGCAAGCCTCCACATCTTTTGATTCCCGGGCGCGGGCGCAAGCCCTTTTTTGGGGGGGAACCGAGCTCTGATGCTTTTTTTTGGGGGGTGAACCCCAAGATGGTGGCTTTCCTTTTGAACCAATCCTTAAAAGGGTGTACGCCTTTTGGCCTTCAAGCTTTTTTCTTTTAGCATTGCGCCGCCCTTTCCCTTTGCAAGTCTAGGCCATGCGTCGCAAGGGGAGCGCAGGAGAGCGAGCTGGTTCTCGAGACTCGGCCAGCTCGCGTGGGGTGCTCGCGCGTTTCAAACGCGTCTCACGATGAATTCTGTACCATGATCTCAAACCACCATTTGTGTTCTACGCAAATCACAATTTGGGTTTAGGGGTTTCTTGTTGTATGTTCCATCGGGTTGCAATCGTGTTTGTCTTGGGGGTTGTGGGGTGTTGTGGGGGTTGTTGGATTGGTATAGCGTTTGTTCCATTTCGCTGAACAAATTTTCGTCTATTTCTTGCATTACTCCATCTATAAATATATATCAGGTCATATATGCTTAATTCTATAAGGGGGCTTTTCTTTAAGCGTCTTTACGTTTTTGTTTCGGGGTGTCGGTTTGGGTTGAACAACAAGTGTCCTGAAAAAGGCTTTTTGAGATAGGAAGGACACTTGTGAAGAAGGGCGTTTCATGACCTTGGGAGGGCTCTCTTCTAAACGTCCATGCTGGTAGATTTTAAGCATGACGTTGAGATGTTCAAAAAATAATGATGATGACATGTTCAAAGCATGGTGCTGACATGTTCAAAACATGTATCCCCGACAGCGTCATTCTGCTGGTCTTTGTAAACTTTTTCCAAGCACCATGCTAAAGCAGAGTGTGCAAACATCACGATCAAATATACACCGTCCTTCAAAGCAAACATACTGCTTGATGGGCCATGGACAAACGTTGAATTGTTCAAAGTCTGAATTGTTGGAAAGCAGGTCTTGGTATGTCTTGGTATGTCTTGGTATGTCTTGGTATGTCTTGGTATGTCTTAGTATGTCTTGGTATGTCTTGGTATGTCTTGGTATCTTGCAAGCAGCGGCTCTCTTTTCAAAGAGGCTGTAGGTCTTCAAGGAAGTTTGGTCCTTCCGTGAAACACTGCAAACAGTCGGCATGCCACACAGGGTTTGCTGGAGAAGCATAGTTATCCAAAGAACTGCCGAAATCGATTCAAGGCAAATTTGCCACTATTCACTTGCCCCCTTCAACTTGCCGTTTTCGCTGGTGATGAAGCCTTCGTCAAGCAGTGCAATTTAAAAAACAAAAAACAGTGAAAACCAGCCTCGCAAATCATCAATCGGATATGATGCGTAGAAGCAATGAGGACAAACTTCCGCTCGGTCTCCTTGAAGACTTCTTGCCACAGACCCGGATTGTTCGCTTCGCGTGGGACGATGCCTGCGACATTCTTGTGCGCCCTCATCACTCTTGAAGTCCATGACCGGTGAAAACCCGTCAACGGCGATGTTAATGAGGTGCTCGCGGGCATCGTCCTCGCAAAATAAAACAACAACTTAGAAGCAATAAATGGCAAACAGTATTGGTCGAAACAAAATGACACAACAGTTCTCCGTCCTTGACTACACAAGTCCCAATGCCAGGCACGGACACAAAGCCCAGTGGGTAGAATTGCTCCCTGTTCATCTTGAAGTTGCCAAGAGCTGTCATTGCCGAGTCGATAGAGCCACCACAAACTGACAACAGGAGGGGGGCAAGGCGCTCTCCCATCTGCCACTTCTCGACGAACAACTTATACATGAAGCGTGGGGGCACTTCTGGGGCAATGATAACATTCTTAATGTCCAGCAGATAACCCTGCTAATGCCAACTTGTATGGGTAGCCATGCTCACTAGAAATGAGGATGACCGAAGCCTGGTTGCTCTGTTTTGTAATCCTGGTTATCTGTGCCAGGGCAGCCTTGGCAGTTTTGATATCCATCTGGTCGGCATTTTGGTCTGCTGGCAAGGCAAGGTTAGCCTCGTCAATGATGATGGCGACGCCGTCACCCTTCAACTCAGAGATGACTTCTGCGAGGGTGGCTTCCTTTTCCTTGGTCTTCATACCCTCGAGTGCTAAAAACACACCGAGCACTGAGGTTGCTTCGATCTTTGCAGTGACTTTAGGGAGCAAGGCTTTGATAGCATTCTGCACTGTCTTCAAAAACCCTCGCTCCTTGGAAGTCTTGATTGCCTTCTGCAATGTCTTCAAAAGCGATTGCTGTTTGGAAACTTCTGTCAAAACGGCTTCGAAATAATCTTTGCTCGGATAGTCTCGCATGTCTGAGAGTAACAAAGTGCGATTTGTTGTCTTCTCGTTCCTCATCTTCCTCACCAGCCTCTCAACTATGGTGCTCTTGCCCACACTTTTGCCACCGAGAATGAATGCGAGCACATTGGATGGCATCCTGAATAGCCTCGATAAACTCCTCACGGTCCTCAATCTCATCAGACACACAAAGCTTGTTCGCCAATTCAAGCACGCTCTTCAAGTAGTCCTTCACGGTCATATTTTTTCCTTAGCATCTTCTTGAGCCGCTTGCACGAACAAGGAACTGTCCTTCATGTCCTTGATGAAGTCAGCATCCAAGTGTCGCTGGTAGTAGTCGGACTTCATGTCTCCTACCAAGCCATACGGACACCATCCTCCTTCCTCCGCCTTGCAGGGCAAGCATTCAAAAGCTGGTTCTATGATGATTCATGCAACTCTTATTGAACACTTCACTTTTTTGACCACTCAGCCCAGCCTTGACCTGCGCGTGCCTGATTGAACCACACAACAGGACTCGATGGGCATTCTCGGGGGCAATGAAGGCCCTTGTCCAAGACCACACCCCCAGTGCCAGCCCAATGACCAGTTTCCATGTCTTGGATCTGCGAGGCATGGGACTCTAAAGCAAAGTGAAAACTCCGTTTGTGAGCATAAGCAGGAGGTGCATTGCTATGCATTGCTATGCATTGCTATGCATTGTTCTATCCTTTAAAAATATGTTGGCAGTGTGGAAAATCGGTCACCGTTCCTCACACTGACAATCTGGACGTACTGCTGGAGCAAAAATATCAGGTATCCATCGAAGCAGACCAACATAACAACAAAATGAGAAAAATAATGAACAAGGTAGGGGAGTGAAGGTTAGCAAGAAAACGAACAGAAACCCCACCTCGAAAGACATCAGCAGCAAGGAACAAACATTGAACCTCAACATAAAATCACAACAACCCCGACTCAAACACTGAATGAAACTTTTTGACGAAAAATCCCCAGAAACCCCTGCAGAAAAAACATCAAAGGAACGGAAGAAACATTGAACAAAACATAAAAACATAACAGCCTAACACATAACCATACACTCCCCAGAACCAGTGTTTTACAATTTTTTTCAGGGAAGGTAGCCGTGTTATGCCACAGGTTACCCTTCCACTGTGTCGTCCTTGCCATGGAACCATCCGACTTGGGGGCTGATCTTTATGGAATACCCTCCGGTAAGGCTTAACATGGCTAGCTGGAAAATGGATGAAAATGGTTGCCATGGATGTAGATGATCTAAGTGACTTGGAAATGGATCATAATGGATCCCATTTTCCAGCGATCGCCATGTTAAGCCTTACCAGAGTGTATGTTACTTGGTGCGTGGGTATATCGCATGGTTCATTCATCGCGGCCATGGCCCCTACTGCATCATACATCAGTGCCATCATGAACATATCTCAACCTGATCTGCTACAACGATTAGTTTTATCATCATTTTCCATTCTCGTGATCGGCGTCGATCTTACGGTAGTTGTTACTGTTACCAGTATCTTTATTCCTACTACCATCATCCTCATCATCCTCATCATCCTCATCATCACCATCATCATCCTCATCATCATCATCCTCATCATCATCATCATCATCATCATCGTGCATCATCATCGTGCATTGTCATCGTTATGATCATGTTCACCAGAACTACGGTATCATTATCATCATTGTTAATCTTGTGAGTATCATGCTTATGACCATGATAGTAAGTCTTGTCATGGAGGCTACTGTGGTCAACACATCCCCATCATGCGTATGGTATTCATCCCGACCATCACCAAAGCACAAGCAAGAGGGTACCTCAGTTTGTAGCGTCACTTGAAAACGATCATCATCATGATCATCATCACCATGTCATCATGACCATCACGATCATCATCACCATCAGCCATCAGCCACCGCTATTCGTAGGCATGCATGATCATCATGCATACTGTTTTTTTAAAACCCTTTTTCTTTCATCTTCATTCATCTTAAACATTGTCTTTTCAGGTCGACTACAGCAAACCACATGAAAACATCGAAGTTTAGTCATGGCGTCAAGTCGACTACAGCCACGTGAAAACATCGAAGTTTAGGCCATGGCCATACCCTCGGTTACCCTCGGTTACCTCTTGACCATAATCATATGGGTATGGGTCAAGTCACCCTGTCACCTACCCTTCAATGTAGACGATCGATTTGATGGAAATCATCCCCTAAAATGGGAACCCAGATCGGTTTTGAATCATGGCCATATCATAAACGTTAGCACCAACCACCATATATTACCATAGTTGACCCAGCATTCAGACATCTCCTAGCCACCTCCAATTACCAGACCCATAGCACCCTATGGCACCACAGCACCAGCGCCCCACCTGTTGACCTTCCGCTGCCACCTTGGGCAACCACCTTGGCCGTCTTCGCTGGTGCAGGACGTTACTAGACTAACCACTGGGTCCCAGTGCCATGAAACATACTTATGATCAGATTTCCAATAATAACCCCCTTATATAAATGGTTTATACCACATAATTTTATGTACCACCTATCTATGGCCATTTGGATGGTGGTTTACTACTGGATTGCCAACATACTACCATCGTACTACCATCGTACTGCCATCATACAATCATACAATCATACAATCATATTACAAGATCATGCAACGAAGTACAACCATCTCACAACCATCATTCAACCTTCAACCGTTGCATTGATCAGCTTTGTACCCATCATTTTTCATTATCCACCATACCCCAACACGAAAGTGTCAGCCAACTCGGCCCATGAACCCAACCACTACCCCTAACCCCCCCTCCATGGGTCATTGTCCCGATTGAACATCATCCATGATCGGCATATGATCTACTTTAGCCATTCAAAGGTTATGTCCAACAGTCCCAACAATGTACGGTTCGGACAGTCAATGTGCTCGATGCTTAACACCCTTTGCTACATGTATGTAAGCCTTCGCCCCAGGAGTCACGCCGAACGAGTTTCTCCTGGTTTTTCTATGTCGTAGACCCAAAGAAACATCCAAAAATGCGTTTCATGCGCGGAGGACCCCGTGCTTCTTTTTGTTTCTTAAAGAAATATTGTTTTTTGTTTAAAGATACCTTCATGTGATTCATTCGTTTCAATGGCGGGCGATGGCCGTGCACCGCGGGCGATCTCAGAAGTCGAGGTCTTCGGCCTGCGCATCGGCGGAAGTTCCCGAGAGGCCTGGAAATGCCACCGGATTTTTTGATTTTCAGAGGAGCACGGGATCATATTTTGGGCCGCCCTCAGATCCCCCGCTGAAAGTTTTTACCTCTTGGTGGTTTTAACTTTTAGTGGGCTACATGGAAATCCCCACTAAACAATAAACAACTAAACGGCTCAGGGGATGGCTGGGAGCCACCAAGTTTTGAGAGGAGCACGGGATCATGGTATATCTAATAATGGTGAGCCAATCTGTGGGTCCCCGGACAGCGCACCTAATCAAATGCTAGTGGCCGGTGTTGCACCGATGCCCAAGCCCTACGCGGTAAGCCCCGTGCCTTTTGGGCTCCATAAGTGTGAGGGGCCCACCAAAACATGCATGGAACCTGACAGAAAGCCCTGGAAGACCATGTCCTTTTCAATCGGGCACTGGGTTCCACATTGGCGGACAGAAGGGTAATTGACATTGAACGAAGTTCATGCAAGATGCAAATATATGGGTTGGAGTTGGTACCCCGCTTTTTGGGTTGGATCTGGACCCACAAGTTGAAAATCAAGACACTTCTGGAAAACAATCAATCTGCAAGGGAGGAACCTTTGTGGGTGAGGTAACCCGAGTGATTTGTGCCATGTGTTTTGCCAGAACAGTTCCAAGCCCGGAGCTAATTTTCCTTGAGTCATTTGCCCCGTCCCTTCCGGAAGTGGCCAGATCGTTGGATCATAGGCTTCCCAAACCCCATCCCCTTGAACTTCGGCGGCCCCGGCACAACACCCAGCCCCAGCTTGCGCTATGGCTTCACTAGGTCCTCCAGTAAAGAGGCTAAAATAAGGGTACCAACTTTTGTTCTTCTGTAGTCTATTTTACTGGCCCAGCTTACTTCCACTGTTTTTTTGTCGTCTCTTGCCAGCTGAGCCGTGCCAAATACTCTTGTGTAAAAAGCGGTCCTGTAAACTTGCTTTCGCGGACCCTTTCGCGATGCTTTCGCGACCCCATGTTTTGCTTTCGCGGGCTTTGGTTTCTCTAGAATTGCTTTCGCGACGCTTTCGCGGCGGAGCGTCACACAGCATGCAGGCTTTCGCGGGTCTTTCGCGGCGGGACCTTCTTTGGTTGCTTTCGCGATAAGCTTTCGCGAGCTTCGCGGCCTGCGTTTTGGCTTTCGCGGGGATTCTATAGGACCCCCCCCTTTGCTACTTTGTATTGTCAGAGTTTCTGGCGCTGCTCAGCTGGGTTTGCCCACGCCTGGCCCTGAGTAAGAACGGAGATGAAAGGACGCCTCTGAATCAACTAGGTCCTGGACGCCAGAAAACCCCCCCCGCTCTAAGAACTGTCTTTTCTGGACCTTGTCAACCTTGAGTGGGGCGGGGAAATGGAGGGGGGGGGTATTAATCAGAACCAACGATTCATCACCTCATCCCAGACTTGCTTGCTAGCAGGGTAAGCAGGATGCGGAGCACAAAGCAGTCATAGGGAAGTGGTTTCAGGGCTTGTTAATGATGGCTAGTAGCCCGCTTGGAGTTGCAGAAAGCCGCCTTGACGCTAGACTTTATGGATCACTCTCGCACGTAGCGCAACTCCAGGGTTCGACTTTCCCAATACACCTACCTATTGGCAGGGCCCCCCCTCACGTTGTACATTTTCCGCTTCGAACAATGGCTTGGGCCAAGTGCTTTTACGGATTCACCCCACACTCTTCGGACTCAATCCTTTCCTGGGCATCGATTTTCCCCACCGTCTTCAACTTGCAATCAGGGCATCGGGCATCTGGGTGTCTTTTTTCAGGGTTCTGTTGCGGGGGCAATATGGGCGTATCTATTTTGTTCAGAGTATCCCTTTTTGGTGTTTGACTCGTTAGGCCAAGTCACCGTCAAAATGTACGTCTCCTGTCAAAGGATATATGGGACAATTCGTGAGTCCCCAGCCTGGGTGGGAGTCTTAGTGCCCCCCCAATGTCCCTGAGCGCAACCGGACCAAACACTAGTCACTAGTCAATATTCTACCATTCTTAATGCACCCGCAAAAAGGCCACTCCAGAAATTCCTGACTTTGACACCCCAAAAAAAATTGAAGCACCATGTAGCTGCCCCTTCTTTTGGATGAATGTAGGTTTTGCGTCATGTTTTTATTGCCGGTTCCCCAGCCCCAGGAAAACCCGCGGCTGGGCGCGCCTTGGCCTTCGCCTTGGGCTCCACGTCGCGGCTGCGGCTGGCCTGAAGCTGAGCTCCGTCCGGTAGGTCTTCCAGGCGAGTCGGAGGGTTCATTTGAGTGTGGCTCTCAAAATGACTCCAGGAAACCGCAGGTTTGGGTCCATGAGGCCACTTAGGGTTCCATTTTGGGCACCTATGTAAAAAAAGAGCTCGGGCTACGCAGCTTCTAGTCTTTGGTTCCATTTACCAAGGTGCCAAATTTGGGTACGTGTAGTTGAGCCACACCCATTTGAGTCATAATCAAAACCCGGTACACAAATGCTCGATCCCAGACCATGTAAAGAATTAAGAAGGCGTATGGTTGGGATCGTACCTTCATCTACCCGGGTTTTGATTGTGGCTCATTTCTTGCTGTGTTTGCTTGTGCCTGTACGTCTGCTTGCTTTGCTCTGCTTGCTTTTGGGTGGCAACATCCACGGGGCGTGCGCGCGTTTCCGGCCGAACAAGGTAACATACTAGGTTCCTAAACCGCTAAAACTGGTTGGCGTCCTTAGAAACTCCTCTTGGACTTCCTCCTTGTAGTGACCCCTCTTGGCTTCTGCTGCCCCTGATTTCCTCAAAATTCCGAGGGAACAAGGAACCCTCATTATTCCGCAAAACTAGGGAGGCCTCTTGGCGGTTGATGTTCTTTGGAATGAACACCATTCAAATAGGGGTGTCCCATTTTGAGACCAACCCAGTTTCTTGGCCTCAGGTCTGATGGTTTGAACATCATCCTTTGGGCGGGTTTGCGTTTCCTATTGGCGGGGCGATGTTCAAACGGAGACCGCAGGAATTATGTTTCTCGCGGGTTCCGAAAGGGCGACCAAAGGGAAGGGAGGGCCACAGCCCAGGGGGCATGTTCAGGTTCCACCCTGGACCAAATCCACCTCGCACCAGCTTTGATGGATGAACATGAGGTTTAACCACCCTATGACATCCTATGAAAACTAACACAAAACAAATCCCAGACTGGTGCGATCGAGTTTTTCTGTGCCACCCACAGTAAGAGGTTCTCCTTTTGCCGAGGGAAAGTCCCCCACCACTGCGCAAGCCAGCCTTACAAACTCGAGGGGAAACGAAGCACTGCGAATTCCCGGCTCATTTCTTCCAAAGCAAGAAGCATGATGACAAGTGCGCGCGCGCGTGTCTTCTTTTGGTTGGTACTCCTTTGGGTTGTGTGGAAGGGAAGCACCCAATCTTTGGGGTCCTAAAAACTGAGGAGCACCTACCAAAAGTCCTCCTCCGAAAAGGACGTGATCTTCCAGTGTCCCGTTTTCAAGCAATGGAGGCCCCCCGAGAGCCCCCAAAGGCAGGACAGGTGCAGAAAAAACCCGAACCGCCTCGGACTTCAACTGAAGGCCCCACATCCAAATTGGAAGCGGCATTTTTTTCAAGGGCGCGCCGTTTTTCAGGTTGGGCCCACCAATTGGTGGTTTCCTTGTTGATTTCCTTAACCACCACAAAAAAAGGGGTTCCTCGAAAAAGAACACACCCAGGACAGCTTGGGGAAGCTCAAGAATACAAACCGATGGGAGACCTCCCATGTTCTGGGTTTTTTCCCGTGCGCCATCTGCCTTTACAGACACTACTGTGGATGGACGAAATCCATTGCGCACCGCTTCGAAACCATGGGAAACCATTGTTGATTGGCATTTGCAGGGGAATCACCAACCCAGGGTTTCTTAGGTGGTGCAGGATTCTGTCCATCCACACTATCACTAATAGTCACCGATAGCCAATAGTCGTCAATACCACCCCCCAAGCACGGCCTTTGGACAGTACTTGGGATTGCGGACATGGGAAATGGCAGTTGTTGGGGGGCGGGTGGTCACTAGTTGTCCTTACTCATTTCTAAGAAGAACCATGAATATCCTTCATATCCTTGATGCCATGAATACCCATTTCATATCCTCAATACCCTTTGTACGGGCGTGACGTTTGTAGGGCACCCACTGAAATGGCTGGGTTCTCCGTTTGCTTTCCCCCGAATGCCAACCAACAGGGGCTTCCCGAAGAAAAGGTAAATGGCCCATTTGGGTTTGCCTTTTTCTGTGGGTACCAATTTGGGGGTTGGGTTTAACCTGCAACTTTGGGGTTCCCTAAAAAAAAAACGAGTCATACTGTGGATGGTTTCAACCATGGAACGTTATGGTTTGAACCATGGTGTCTGAACGGTGGGTGCGAGCGGATTTCGCAACCCTCCACCATCGCGAGATCCACAAAAAATGGTGTGTTGCCTTGATTTCCCTTTAACACCCCCCAACAACCCCCCAAAAACCATTACCCAAAACGGCCCAAAACGGGCACCGCCTCCCGCAAAAAACCCGCAAAAACCTCCGGCTCGCGCGCCGGCGCGCCTCCCGCCGCGCTCGGTAGGAGGAGGCCCGCGGCCTCGGCGTCGGTTTTTTTTGTTTACCGTTGAGGAGCCACGAAAATGGGAAGTTCAACTCTTGGTTGCTGTTGGCCCCCTGCAAAAAGGTCAACTTTTTGGGGGGTTTAGTGGAAAACCTTTTTTTTTATCTTCCAGAAAGTTAAAGTCTAAAGATCCCCAACCCCACAGCAGTCAAGAACTCTTGGTGTCCTTTAAAACAACAAACTTTTTTAGGGACTCACTAAAATGGGTGGGTTGTTTCTTGGTGTCCCGAAAAAAATACTCAAGAGGTTTCAAACACAGATGGACTCGTGGGGTTTATCCCGGTCATAGGATGTCCATCCATCCAACTGCTGCAGGAGGTTGTCCATGCACAAATTTAGTGGGCCTGAATCGGGCATGACTAGAACACCATGGTATATAACTGGGGCTGACAGAACACGCTTTAAATACCGGGCGCGGTTGTATATTTCAGTGCACTTGACTACAAAGCGCAGACTCGAAGTCTTTCTCGCAATGTTTCTGCCGTGCTGTCAAGCGGCAGCATAACAAAGACACCTGAAACACTTGCAAGAACCTACTACTGCTCGTGCTCAGCCAGGCAGTGAGGGAAGCATCAAACATATATGCAGGCAACAAACCGTGATCGGGGGCATGCAGGCATGTACACATAATATATGCAAGATACATGATATGTCGAAATTCATATGTACATACATACATATATATATATACATACATGTAAATAATTTTCTGTTCTGACTACACAAACAACAACATATAAGCAATCCGGATCGCCGTTCAAGCATCTTTGAAAGCTTCGCCATAGCGTTCCATGGATCCACGCATTTCGGGGATCGCCGAAGAACTGCGCTCCGCTGTGCCTTAATTAAACCCTTGAAGTGGCCCCAGGATTCCAACATGACCGGTTTTTCGAGGAGTCGGGGTGCTGATTGGGTGTGCCCACTTAGCAAGTAAGTTGCCACCATTTTTACAGCATAAGGGAACTATGTAGCCCCAGCTCACCTACTTGATAATCAAGTTTTGCCAGAGTTAGACCAATCCCTTGCTTTAATGGTGTAAAGACCTGTTCAACCTCCTTTTGGTTTCCATTGAACTGGGCGCCGTCTCGTTGAAACCAACTTGCTCCAACGGGGATGCCGCATCCGAAACCGCCGCCGATTCCACGCGCCGGGCCCCTTGGAGCCGTGCGCCTCGGCGCCTGGCTCCGGGCCTGAAGCTTATCGAACCGAGGAGGCATGAAGAAAACGCAGGTTTCAGCCTACAGTCAAAATCTGCGCTTGCGGCACATGCCTGTGGGAAACCGTTAGGACGTGTCTCCTAAGATGCTTTTTTGTTAAAGGAAGTTTGCCTGTTTTGCGGGAAACATTTACGAACCCCATGTCCCCAAATGGCCCATCTGCAGGACATTTTGACGGAACCTCGAAAGGGTGTGTTCAGGGTAAGCAAATGAGTCCTTTTCCACAAGAACTCCGGGAAATTATGCTCCTGAGTGACATGTGGTGTTGTCTCTCTGCCTAAAAATGACCGGGGTGCTTCCATTGCACTCCTAGCAGGCGCAGTGATGCTCTTGCTGCTTCTCTCTCTCTCTCTCTCTCTCTCTCTCTCTCTCTCTCTCTCTCTCTCTCTCTCTCTCTCTCTCTCTCTCCTACGTATCTCACCGCATTTCAACGTCCGCAATTGCCGGCATCACCTTCTAGCAAAGCACCTTCCAGAACAGGAGCTTCTTGAATGCAACTACTGTTAGGCGATGCAAAACGGAATCATGCATTTTGTTCTACACGCGTTCTGGCAGCGCGCAACCCCAGGCTTTCACAGGACGACTCTTACTCGAAAGTCTCGTCAAACTCCCTTGGATGGACATGAATGGATTGATGTTTTTCCCAATTTGGCTGGGCTCTCCCCGCCGGCAAGTCGACGCTTGCCCAACGTCCGTTTTGTATTGCCCCTAAAACGAAGGGGCAGAACCTGTACTGATTTGTCGTAGCAAAGCGCGCATGTGGGCCACCCAGCCAGCCAGCCAGCCAGCCAGCCACCCCACCCCACCCCACCCCACCCCACCCCGCCCCGCCCCGCCCCGCCCCGCCCCGCCCCGCCCCGCCCCACCCCACCCCACCCCACCCCACCCCACCCCACCCCACCCACACAGAGACGAGATAATCTAAACGTCTGGGGCTCAGACTGGCGGCGGGCGACCTCTGGTTCGCCCCAAAAATGCGCGGGCGGGGGAGGGGGGATGGTGGGTGTCCTTTTGTTTTCTTTTTCAAAACCACCTCAAAGCGGGTTCCCTAAAAAAAGACACTCCACATGGATCCCCTTTGAAATGGACATTTTTCTAAGGTTTGAGAGAGCAATCTCATGACCTCGTTGTCCCCATCCTGGTGCTAGGTCAGGCGAGAAGCAGTGACTTGTGCGTAGCAAGTAGAAAATTCCTGGGCGCCCAAAGAACTTGTGTCTGTGGTTCCAGGGTGCTTCTTTCCACTGGTTTTGCGGCTTGAGCGCCCCGCTTTTGTGTTTTATCCGGCAAAGAAAAGAACTCTAGGGTTTCCTCTTCAGACGGAGAGCACCGTCCAAACCCCTCGGTCGTGTTGACGATTCTTTCTTAGGGATCCGTTGGTTTCCTGCATGCCCTCCATGCATCCAATTTGGAGAAATCACTCCTTCAAGTACCCAAGATCCACTTGACCCATCACTTCCAGCTTGTGCCGGTATTCAAAAAAAGCGTCCTCCTTTTTGGGCCCCTTGAAACAAAAAAAAACGCCGTCCTTTTCGGCCTTTTGAAACGGGCCGGCGGTTTTTTTGAGCGGCCTTCTTCCTCCTTTTTCCCTCTCCCGCGGCAGTTCCGGGCAAGAACGGGGCTTCCGGCCCCTCTGCAGGTCTGCGGGCCTCCAAGCTTTGGGGCGTGATTCAAGGGACGAAAGGACAGCAGCGAGTTTGGGGGGTCCACCGATCTTAAGACAAACCCCTTGTTCGCGGGGGCTTTGTAAAGAGAAAAATCTAGTTCACCCCTGAAGCTGGAATTTCCCAAGCTGAGGGGATCAAAGCTTCCACCCATAGCTGACAGCGGTCTAAGCCGAACTTGCGAGGTTCCATGTCCAGTACTTCTCACTCGATTCTCTGGGCTGTCCGCTTGATCCCCGGCCAAAAGTGACTAAGCAATTGAGTGGTTAAGTGGAAACCCAACCACGAAAACACCAGCTAAAAGGTCAAAAGGCCGAGGCCCGTTTTCAGATCGGCAAACAGTAACTCACCAATTTAGTGGTTCAATGGAACCTAAAAGTGACCAACCAGTGGTTGAATGGAAACAGCCACTAAACCCACGAGGCTAAAAGGCTGAGGAACCGGGTGGACCGGATGCCTGGGCTTTTCGCCTAGCCGCACCTTGTCAGGAGCTTAGCTCCGACGACCAGGAGCTGTTCGCAGTTTGAAAAAGATCAACAGGGATCCGGATGCATGATACACCTGAACATTGCAACTTGGAAATGGCGGTGTCCCTTTATTTTGGTGTTGAAACAGCAACATGGTTCAACTGGTGGCAAAATGTAAATCTTTTAAGGAGCCCTGACAAACGACGAGTATAGTTACCCCTTCAATCCACTTGGCCCGTAGGTCATAAGAATAGATTCAACATGTACAGCCAGGATGTTACTACAAGCCACTTGACAGTCCGTTAATTATTCCAGTCTATAGGGGGCATATGGAGGATCTCACTTCTCCTGCCAGAACCAAGGGATATTCTCATTGCCCAAGCGGACATTTGACATAGGGAAACCAGCATAATTGTTCGCCTGAGGTAACATGATGTCCACATGACAGGATGTGAAACGGTCTAGCATCGGCCAACGGAGAAGACCAAAAGACCTCCAAAAAGGTCATTGTCACATCCAAGTGTGGCCATTTAAAAACTGGCTACCCTCCTGTACACTAATTAACATGGAACCCATCAGTGTCCCTTTTCAAGGAAAATCTTCCTTGACCCCTGAGTCAGGTTCCATGTTAGTGGACGGGAGGGTAGAGGTTCTGTCATCTTTCGGAATGTAAGGCAGCCAAGAACTTTCATGCCCTGGCTCCTGTATTCCGCTTCTACCATCCCCTGCCGAAAGCAATATCATCTTTAAGTTACATGTCTAAGTCACCCCAAAGGGACATTTGGATTTGCCTTTACATGGGGGAACCCTATCGGTGATTTCCGGTGGTTTCCCTACCAAGCCCCGCAAAAGAGTGTGCCTTTTTTGAGGCATCAGACCCCAAAAAAAAGGTGGCTTTCCGGTTGGCTTCCCTTCGAAACCATAAACAAGAGGGAGGGTACCAACTCCCAAAAACGAGCCCCCAAAAGGCTGCACCCCCTTTGGAAGTACGACCACTTCCAACCCCCCCAAAAAACCCACCCCAAAACCCAAAACCCCACCCCCTCAACTGTCTTTTTTTCCCATTTGCGTCCTTCAAAACCAAAAAGTGAAAAACATACCCTCACTCCCACTATCCTGGCACCTGACAGAGGCTCCCTACAAGAGGAACATGAACTTCCAGGTACTCTCCCACAGCTGCTGCTATGTTGGTGGAAGGGAGGGTATTGATTGGGCAGGGGATCATCTGCGCACACAAATCTGGATCATCTGTACACACAGGCTTTCCTCACTTATTGCGCCATGCACTCTGGATCATCTGCGCACACAAGGTTTCTGTCATCTGGCTCATCTGTACACACACACACACACTTTTGGCAGGGTGGGGGGGTGGGGGGGGGGGGATTGGTAAGCACACCCGCTCAAGTGCGCCCGCTCAGCACTGTGGGGGGGGGGGGTGGTGGGGGGGAGGGGGGAATGGTATTCACACCCGCTCAAGTGCGCCCGCTCAGCGCTGTTTCCACGCATGCGGAAGAGTAGCCCGAAGGGGTGGGGGGTGGGTGGGGAGGCGGGGGAATGGTAAGCACATGCCTGCCACCTAATAAGCATACCCGCTCACGTGCAACAGATGGGGTGCGGTATTGGGGAAGGGTGGGGTGGGGGTGGGGGCTGGGGCGGGGCGGGGTGGGGCACGCCCGCTCACGCGCGTCCGCCTAGCGCTGCATCCACGCTTACCACCTAATGAGCACACCCGCTCACGCGCGCCCGCCCAGCGCTGCATGCATGCCTGCCACCTGATAAGCACGCCCACTCACGTGCAACACATGCCTGCCGCCTTAATGAGCGCCTGCTCAGGGTGGGCTGGGCTGGGGTCAGGCTTTGGGGAGGTTGGGGTGGGGTGGGGCACACCCGCTCACACACGCCCAGCACTGCGCACATGCCTGCCACCTAGCAAGCGCACCCGCTCACGCGTAACAGATGGGGTGGGGTATTGGGGAGGGGGGGTGGGGTGGAAACATGCAGCTGTCAACGCCCCTGTCACTTCTTGTGCATAGCAGTAAGCACTGCGTGTACAAACGATCCGGGGCAAAAAAGGCCCGCGTGCAGAGACGATCCGGTCCCGCGTGTACAGACGATCCGAATTCCGCGTGTACAGACGATGCACTGACCGTATTGATTTGGGTGTGGGTCAAAATTAAACAACCAGAAAACAACAGGTTTTAGTCCGTTAGGGGTACCAGGGCTCCATTTAGGGTACCCATCTTTTGACACACGACCATTTCAGCAAATGGAAGGTGTCCAGGGCTGTGGGGAATGACCACTTCTGTGATACAATAGAAAGGGCTTCCCAAAGACTATTTTCTTCGTATAAAGGGGGATTCCCTTGTATCACAGAAGTGGGGAGAAACCCCTTGATCCCACAACCCTGAAAGGTGTCCAAAGTGAAAAGTGAGACATCTGCCCGCGCCTGGGGCGAGCCCTTGACGGAGCCTCTTGCTTCACCTGTCAGCCAGGTCGGCGGTCGCACGGGTGGCTCGTCTTTTGAGGCTCTGAACAAAAGAACCCTTTTGGGTTTTTTAGAGGGAAGCCTAAAGGACACCAGCCCATTTTTGGGGTGTATCCCTATCTTGAGACCTCATATGGAATGAGGGCCAAAATGGCCGTGCTTCTTTAAGTCTTGCCTTCGCTTTAAAGCAACCTGAAAAGGCGCGATTACGGGGAACCAAACGGACGCGGACCGCTTGCGCAGGTTCCGACTTTTTACATGTTCGAGTGCAATCACTCCTCGTGCAAAGCTGAGGACGCACAATCCCTCCTTGTGCGATGCAAGGCGCAAGGGTCGGGTCAAAGGATATTCAATACCCCAAAGGCTCAGGTACGAGCAAAGAGCAAAGAAGTCACATGTTGGCAGACTGACCTCTGCAGCACTCTGAGGTTGGTTCTTGAAATGAACAGCTCGAGCACTTGTTCCCAAGACGCAGCAAGAACACATCATGGAGCGCTGGCCATGTGGTTGTCTTTGCAGCTCTCGCCGCAAACGCGCCACCCAGCTGGGTCACAAAGTATCTGTCACAAGATTTCCATCGCGCCATGCATGCTTATTACCCAGCAAAGTTGGCTCTGGACACTACTTACGAGGACTAGTTGGGTGTTCAAGTCACTTCCTACTTTAGCTAGGTTGTAAGGGAACAACCCAGTTGCAACCAGAATCGTAACCTACCTACACACTGGGACAGTATCAACGTGGCTCTTCACCCCCCAGCTGCAGTGAAGCCAGCATGCCTTAATCTCCAATAAGACAAATCAACAAGTACGGCAAAATGAGGCCCTAAATCAGTATATGGGCTTATATGGGGTTGCGGGGTACTTGAAAACAAATTCAAGGCACGATCATGACATAATATGTGTAGTGAGTCTGCCCCCTTATACTGTGCATGGACGAAATCCTACACCATGGGAAACTATTGTGTGTTGGTATTTCCCAGGGATTCATCCTTCCGTTTCATGAGTGCAGGATTTCGCCCATCAGTATTGCTCTCACAAGGACCTGGCACCAGGCCAATACAGGACTTGCTTGCCAGTACTACCTTCCTCCCTGAAAAAGTGGAAAGTGACATCCGCAGCGGGGTGTTGGGAGCAAAACACTGAAAGTCGTGAGAGACTCATGGAAGTGATGGAAGGTATTGGCAACCAATTCGCGTCGGACAGCCGTGAAGCACTGGCTTTAGGGGGCGAAGTTTTTCCCACCTCTCGTGTGCTCAGCATTCGCTTTCATGGTCGGTCATGGACTCGTGCATCGCACACACCAGGTGCAGTGATACAAGAGGCGACCTACCCCTTCCCTTTAGCCTACAACAAAAAGTAGCATCGCCGTAATTTTATGGATGCTGCCAGGAAGGTGTCCGAAGACTAGTTTGCCTTTAGTGAACCTCCGTGTCCACTTTCACAATTGCTGGAAAGATAGTCCGAAATCTGAGAGAGCCCTTTTTGAAGTTGCTGTGAAAGCAATTCACAGGGAAACCATCCATTTTGGGGTGGTCTTGCCAAGGGGAGAAAACAAGGCTGAACACAACAACAACTCCACGACTCATCAGCCAGTCTTGTGCATCAGCTGACATTGCAACGGCAACTGCCCGGTATGAACAGGGAATTCAACATGCCTCAGAAAAGATCTTGGTTGTGAAGCACTTTTCCTTACCCAATCCAGAGGCCACACACACACACACAACACATGTACAAGTCCGCGCCAAAAAGCAGCAAATAGCACCATGATTCCGCACACAAAATCACAAGTACAACACCGTGAGCAAACGCCAAAGCAGACCTTCAGAACAGATCTTGGTTGTGAAGCTCTTTTCATCGCCAACGGCTCTAAAGTAGCAAATATCACGGTCATCATTGCCTGCCCTGCATGTCGTCTCACGTCTTCCAACTAACCTCAACCTGCTAGTGAGCACTAGCCCCTTGCACGCAAGCCCGATCCTGTCCACGCACAACGAACACGCACTGGATTCAACACATGCCTCAGGGGACGTTCAGAACAGCTTGGATTGAAGCTCTTTCATCACCAACGGCTCTGAAGTAGCAAATCTAATTGCCATCCTTGCCCTGCCCTGCATGTCGTCTCACGACTCCAAACTGTCATCTATCTTCTTGCGCGCACAATCCACATGGACACATGCCACGCCAACTCAAAGGACCAAACACAGCGAGATCCATCCGGGCTGTGTCTGTGTGCAAACAAGCGTCCGTCTACAACATGCCATGGATGACAGCAGACCTTCAGAACGGATCTTGGTTGTGAAGCTCTTTTCATCGCCAAAGGCACGTCTCTTAACTGACCTCAACCTGCACGCAAGCCCAATCCAAAGGCCCGGATACAACAACTAGCAGTACAGCAGGATGCATCAATGTTGGATTCAACACATGCCTCAGGGGACGTTCAAAACAGCTTGGGCTGAAGCTCTTTCATCGCCAAAGGCTCTAAGTAGCAAATATCATGGTCATCATTGCCTGCCCCGCATGTCGTCCCATGTCTTACAACTGTCCTCTTATTTTGTGTTCCCAGTCCACATGCATGCATGCCCATTAGGGGTCCGCGCACAATGCTTGTGTTGGTGCCGGTGCAGCAGCAGGCGCCAATCTTGCTGTACCAGTGCGAACACATGCGCAACGTGCCGCTGGTTGAACATAACCGCACCCCAGCAAACGCTCAAACAAATGTTGCCGCAGAACACATCTTGGTTGTGAAGCACTTTTCCTTACCCAATCCAGAGGCCACACACACACACACAACACATGTACAAGTCCGCGCCAAAAAGCAGCAAATAGCACCATGATTCCGCACACAAAATCACAAGTACAACACCGTGAGCAAACGCCAAAGCAGACCTTCAGAACAGATCTTGGTTGTGAAGCTCTTTTCATCGCCAACGGCTCTAAAGTAGCAAATATCACGGTCATCATTGCCTGCCCTGCATGTCGTCTCACGTCTTCCAACTAACCTCAACCTGCTAGTGAGCACTAGCCCCTTGCACGCAAGCCCGATCCTGTCCACGCACAACGAACACGCACTGGATTCAACACATGCCTCAGGGGACGTTCAGAACAGCTTGGATTGAAGCTCTTTCATCACCAACGGCTCTGAAGTAGCAAATCTAATTGCCATCCTTGCCCTGCCCTGCATGTCGTCTCACGACTCCAAACTGTCATCTATCTTCTTGCGCGCACAATCCACATGGACACATGCCACGCCAACTCAAAGGACCAAACACAGCGAGATCCATCCGGGCTGTGTCTGTGTGCAAACAAGCGTCCGTCTACAACATGCCATGGATGACAGCAGACCTTCAGAACGGATCTTGGTTGTGAAGCTCTTTTCATCGCCAAAGGCACGTCTCTTAACTGACCTCAACCTGCACGCAAGCCCAATCCAAAGGCCCGGATACAACAACTAGCAGTACAGCAGGATGCATCAATGTTGGATTCAACACATGCCTCAGGGGACGTTCAAAACAGCTTGGGCTGAAGCTCTTTCATCGCCAAAGGCTCTAAGTAGCAAATATCATGGTCATCATTGCCTGCCCCGCATGTCGTCCCATGTCTTACAACTGTCCTCTTATTTTGTGTTCCCAGTCCACATGCATGCATGCCCATTAGGGGTCCGCGCACAATGCTTGTGTTGATGCCGGTGCAGCAGCAGGCGCCAATCTTGCTGTACCAGTGCGAACACATGCGCAACGTGCCGCTGGTTGAACATAACCGCACCCCAGCAAACGCTCAAACAAATGTTGCCGCAGAACACATCTTGGTTGTGAAGCTCTTTTCATCTTGCTGCTCGCACAATTCACCGACATCCATCCGAGCTGTGTCTGTGTGCCAACAAGCGTCCATTTGCAACACGCCATGGATGATGCAACAACATGCCCCAGCAGACCTTCAGAACAGATCTTGGTTGTGAAGCTCTTTTCATCGCCAAAGGCTCTAAAGTAGCAAATATCATGCTCATCCTTGCCTGCCCTGCATGTCGTCTCACGACTCCAAACTGTCATCTATCTTCTCGCGCTCACCCACATCCATCCGAGCTGTGTCCGTGTGCAAACAAGCGTCCATCTACGTCATGCCATGGGTGATGCATCAACCTGCCCCAGCAAACCTTCAGAACAGATCTTGGTTGTGAAGCTCTTTTCATCGCCAAAGGCTCTAAAGTAGCAAATATCACGGTCATCCTTTCCTGCCCTGCATGCCATCTCACGTCTGCCAACTGTTCTCAACCTGTTTGTGGGCACTAGCCCGGTGCACACATGCCTATGCAAAGGCGCAAAAACAACAACTGGCAGCACAGCAGCATACATAACCCACGCAAAAACACATCTCCACGTTTCAACACATGCCGCAGCAGACATTCAGAACAGCTTGGGTTTGAAGATCTTGTCATCGCCAAATGCTCTAACATGTCATGGTCATCCTTGCCTGCCCTGCATGTCGTCTCAAGTCTGACTGTCATCTATCTTCTTGCGCGCACAATTTACCGATGTCCATCCGAGCTGTGTCTGCGTGCAAACCAGCGTCCATTTACAACATGCCTCGGGTGTTGCATCAACATGCCTCAGCAGACCTTCAGAACAGATCTTGGTTGTGAAGCTCTTTTCATCGCCAAAGGCTCTAAAGTAGCAAATATCACGGTCATCATTGCCTGCCCTGCATGTCGTCTCACGTCCGACTGTCATCTATCTTCTTGCGCACACAACTCACCGACATCCATCCAAGCTGTATCTGCGTGCAAACCAGCGTCCATTTACAACATGCCTCGGGTGTTGCATCAACATGCCTCAACAGACCTTCAGAACAGATCTTGGTTGTGAAGCTCTTTTCATCGCCAAAGGCTCTAAAGTAGCAAATATCACGGTCATCATTGCCTGCCCTGCATGTCGTCTCACGACTCCAAACTGTCATCTATCTTCTTGCGCGCACAACTCACCGACATCCATCCGAGGTGTGTCTGTGTGCCAACAAGCGTCCATTTGCAACACGCCATGGATGATGCAACAACATGCCCCAGCAGACCTTCAGAACAGATCTTGGTTGTGAAGCTCTTTTCATCGCCAACGGCTCTAAAGTAGCAAATATCACGGTCATCATTGCCTGCCCTGCATGTCGTCTCACGACTCCACATTGTCATCTATCTGCTTGCGCTCACCCACATCCATCCGATCTGTGTCCGTGTGCAAACAAGCGTCCATCTACGTCATGCCATGGGTGATGCATCAACCTGCCCAGCAGACCTTCAGAACAGATCTTGGTTGTGAAGCTCTTTTCATCGCCAACGGCTCTAAAGTAGCAAATATCACGGTCATCCTTTCCTGCCCTGCATGCCATCTCACGTCTGCCAACTGTTCTCAACCTGTTTGTGGGCACTAGCCCGGTGCACACATGCCTATGCAAAGGCGCAAAAACAACAACTGGCAGCACAGCAGCATACATAACCCACGCAAAAACACATCTCCACGTTTCAACACATGCCGCAGCAGACATTCAGAACAGCTTGGGTTTGAAGATCTTGTCATCGCCAAATGCTCTAACATGTCATGGTCATCCTTGCCTGCCCTGCATGTCGTCTCAAGTCTGACTGTCATCTATCTTCTTGCGCGCACAACTCACCGACATCCATCCAAGCTGTGTCTGCGTGCAAACCAGCGTCCATTTACAACATGCCTCGGGTGTTGCATCAACATGCCTCAGCAGACCTTCAGAACAGATCTTGGTTGTGAAGCTCTTTTCATCGCCAAAGGCTGTAAAGTAGCAAATATCACGGCCATCATTGCCTGCCCTGCATGTCGTCTCACGTCCGACTGTCATCTATCTTCTTGCGCACACAACTCACCGACATCCATCCAAGCTGTGTCTGCGTGCAAACCAGCGTCCATTTACAACATGCCTCGGGTGTTGCATCAACATGCCTCAGCAGACCTTCAGAACAGATCTTGGTTGTGAAGCTCTTTTCATCGCCAAAGGCTGTAAAGTAGCAAATATCACGGCCATCATTGCCTGCCCTGCATGTCGTCTCACGTCCGACTGTCATCTATCTTCTTGCGCACACAACTCACCGACATCCATCCAAGCTGTGTCTGCGTGCAAACCAGCGTCCATTTACAACATGCCTCGGGTGTTGCAACAACATGCCCCAGCAGACCTTCAGAACAGATCTTGGTTGTGAAGCTCTTTTCATCGCCAAAAGCTCTAAAGTAGCAAATATCATGCTCATCCTTGCCTGCCCTGCATGTCGTCTCACGACTCCAAACTGTCATCTATCTTCTCGCGCTCACCCACATCCATCCGATCTGTGTCCGTGTGCAAACAAGCGTCCATCTACGTCATGCCATGGGTGATGCATCAACCTGCCCAGCAGACCTTCAGAACAGATCTTGGTTGTGAAGCTCTTTTCATCGCCAACGGCTCTAAAGTAGCAACTATCACGGTCATCCTTGCCTGCCGTGCATGCCATCTCACGTCTGCCAATTGTTCTCAACCTGTTTGTGGGCACTAGCCCGGTGCACACATGCCTATGCAAAGGCGCAAAACAACAACTGGCACCACAGCAGCATACATAACCCACGCAAAAACACATCTCCACGTTTCAACACATGCCCAGCAGACATTCAGAACAGCTTGGGTTTGAAGATCTTGTCATCGCCAAATGCTCTAACATGTCATGGTCATCCTTGCCTGCCCTGCATGTCGTCTCAAGTCTGACTGTCATCTATCTTCTTGCGCGTACAATTTACCGACGTCCATCCGAGCTGTGTCTGCGTGCAAACCAGCGTCCATTTACAACATGCTTCGGGTGTTGCATCAACATGCCCCAGCAGACCTTCAGAACAGATCTTGGTTGTGAAGCTCTTTTCATCGCCAAAGGCTCTAAAGTAGCAAATATCACGGTCATCATTGCCTGCCCTGCATGTCGTCTCACGACTCCAAACTGTCATCTATCTTCTTGCGCGCACAATTCACCCACATTCATCTGAGCTGAAAACAAGCGTCCATCTACATCATGCCATGAGTGATGCATCAACATGTCCCAGCAGACCTTCAGAACAGATCTTGGTTGTGAAGCTCTATCATCGCCAACGGCTCTAAAGTAGCAAATATCACGGTCATCCTTGCCTGCCGTGCATGCCATCTCACGTCTGCCAATTGTTCTCAACCTGTTTGTGGGCACTAGCCCGGTGCACACATGCCTATGCAAAGGCGCAAAAAAAAAACTGGCACCACAGCAGCATACATAACCAACGCAAAAACACATCTCCACGTTTCAACACATGCCGCAGCAGACATTCAGAACAGCTTGGGTTTGAAGATCTTGTCATCGCCAAATGCTCTAACATGTCATGGTCATCCTTGCCTGCCCTGCATGTCGTCTCAAGTCTGACTGTCATCTATCTTCTTGCGCACACAATTTACCGACGTCCATCCGAGCTGTGTCTGCGTGCAAACCAGCGTCCATTTACAACATGCCTCGGGTGTTGCATCAACATGCCTCAGCAGACCTTCAGAACAGATCTTGGTTGTGAAGCTCTTTTCATCGCCAAAGGCTCTAAAGTAGCAAATATCACGGTCATCATTGCCTGCCCTGCATGTCGTCTCACGACTCCAAACTGCCATCTATCTTCTTGCGCGCAGAACTCACCGACATCCATCCGAGCTGTGTCTGTGTGCCAACAAGCGTCCATTTGCAACACGCCATGGATGATGCAACAACATGCCCTAGCAGACCTTCAGAACAGATCTTGGTTGTGAAGCTCTTTTCATCGCCAAAGGCTCTAAAGTAGCAAATATCACGGTCATCATTGCCTGCCCTGCATGTCGTCTCACGTCCGACTGTCATCTATCTTCTTGCGCGCACAACTCACCGACATCCATCCAAGCTGTGTCTGAGTGCAAACAAGCATCCATTTACAACCTGCCATGGGTGATGCATCAACATGTCCCAGCAGACCTTCAGAACAGATCTTGGTTGTGAAGCTCTTTTCATCGCCAAAGGCTCTAAAGTAGCAAATATCACGGTCATCATTGCCTGCCCTGTGTGCCATCTCACGTCCCAACTGTCCTCAACCTGTTTGTGGGCACTAGCCCGGTGCACACATGCAGGCGCAAACACAACAACCAACAACTGGCAGCACAGCAGCGTGCATAACCCATTCCAAATCACACGTCCACGCACAGCTGTTGTTTCCAAACATGCCACAGCAGACGTTCAGAACAGCTTGGGTTCGAAGATCTTGTCATCGCCAAAGGCTCTAACATGTCATGGTCATCCTTGCCTGCCCTGCATGTCGTCTCAAGTCTGACTGTCATCTATCTTCTTGCGTGCACAATTTACCGACGTCCATCCGAGCTGTGTCTGCGTGCAAACCAGCGTCCATTTACAACATGCCTCGGGTGTTGCATCAACATGCCCCAGCAGACCTTCAGAACAGATCTTGGTTGTGAAGCTCTTTTCATCGTCAAAGGCTCTAAAGTAGCAAATATCACGGTCATCATTGCCTGCCCTGCATGTCGTCTCACGTCCGACTGTCATCTATCTTCTTGCGCGCACAATTCACCAACATCCATCCGAGCTGTGTCTGCGTGCAAACAAGCGTCCATCTACATCATGCCATGGGTGATGCATCAACATGCCCCAGCAGATCTTCAGAACAGATCTTGGTTGTGAAGCTCTTTTCATCGCCAAAGGCTCTAAAGTAGCAAATATCACGGTCATCCTTGCCTGCCGTTCATGCCATCTCACGTCTGCCAATTGTTCTCAACCTGTTTGTGGGCACTAGCCCGGTGCACACATGCCTATGCAAAAGCACAAACACAACAACTGGCAGCACAGCATCATATATAACCCATTCCAAATCACACGTCCACGCACAACTCTGGTTTCAATACATGCCGCAGCAAACGTTCAGAACAGCTTGGGTTTAAAAATGACTCTAACATGTCATGGTCATCCTTGCCTGCCCTGCATGTCGCCTCACGCCTGACTGTCATCTATATTCTTGCGCTCACAGTTCACCGACGTCCATCCGAGCTTCTGAGTGCAAACAAGCAGCCATTTACAACATGCCATGGGTGATGCATCAACATGTCCCAGCAGACCTTCAGAACAGATCTTGGTTGTGAAGCTCTTTTCATCGCCAAAGGCTCTAAAGTAGCAAATATCTTGCTCATCCTTGCTTGCTCAGCCCATCAATGACTCTACATTGGACAACGTCTTCTCTTCCAAACGAGCAACTCCCAATTTTCCGTGATTCTTGCCCCTTTTATGGACTTCCTCTTTCCCAGAAACAATAACATGGTTTTCTCAACAAGAATGCACACGTTGGAGGAATCTCCCATTTTTGTGGTTTGGTATTAGTGGGTCACTGGAATTGCCATCTACTGGTTTCTATTGAAACGATCGCCACTCCAAACAAAGAAACAACTAAAAATGGCTCGGCATTCCCTTTTGGTTTCCCTTGAACAACCCTCCAAACACAAAACAAAACAGGGTTGCCCCCAAAAACCACCCACTGGGACATTCGAACTGTTTGGAAAGTTCCTTCTTTTTTTCCGTTTGCTTCTTCTCCCCCTGCAACAAAATAAACACACTACTTCCAGCAGTGAAGTGGATTCCCTTTAAACCCAAGGGACAAACAAACAAACACCATAATAAACATACTCCGCTAACCGCAAATGGAAGGTGCCCAAATTGGAAGGTGTCCACATCAAAAAACGGACGCCTTTCAGCCCAGTGGACGCTTCCTGGTCGCTCCCCTTCGCTCCCAGCCTTCCGAAGGGCTGCTGCGCTCCGCCGACTGCGACTGGGTCCAGTGGGATGGATTGACGCGAGCGAGCCATGCCCAGGCCCAGGCCCAGGCCCAAAAGACGCATTGTGGCCGGGGGGGGGGTGGGGGGGGGGGTTGGGGAGGTTTTGTGGGGGATTCCAGTGGCCTCTCTCTTCCTCAGTGGACTGGCCAAAAAAAGTACCCACACTTGTTATTTGCCACTCAAATGGTCTTCCCAAAAAGGTGGGGCGGGATGTGGGTGTGTGTGTGTGTGTTGGGGGCGGGGTGTGGGTGTGGGTGTGTGTGGATGGTGGGTTCCTCTCCCCAAAGTTGTAGATGTGGTAGTGTTGAAGGAACATGGGCTGTTCATGTTGATTCCCTTAAACACCAAAAGAGGGCTCCCCACAAAACACCGCATCCAAATGGAAGCACTAGGTTTGGCATTTTTTGGCGGGAACAGAACGACATCCATCCCTTCCTTCTGCTCCCAGTACCAGGAACATGTAACATGTACCAGTCATGCCTCCTGACTGTTGCCAACAGCGACATGCCATCCAAACAAGGCGCGACTAGTACTAAAGTAGCCCCCATATCTACAACTCGCCCATGACCCTGCAAGAATGGGCTAGGTAGTCAGGCCCTCATTCCTGTAACCCCCATGCGAGCTACAAAAGGCTGAGCAGCCAAGATATCAGTTCCAGCAGACCGTTGTTTGCCCAGGCATGCAGCCACTTGTACTGCATCCCGAGGAAATGAGCTCATTAATATAAACATTGTTCTCATGCTCAAGATTTGTCAAGCTGCGGTGGAGCACCATTCTCCACCAAAACAATGAAGTGGAATAAAGGGAGGACTCTCACCTCAGAAAACCCTATGTGAGCTACTTAACCAGCACATGATCTACTTGATAAGTATGAAGTAATGTGCAGATGCTTCTGCTCTGCTGTTCCTATTTTGCTTTCCATACCTAGTGAGCCTCATGCGATTCAGATCGCTGGAGTCAATGCCGTACATGAGGTTTTCGAAACACAATATCAACACAGTAAAACACAACTAAACAACAGGAAACACAGGAGCCTCCGCTGCGTTCCACACTTCAAACATATGTTACCTGGGTAAAGATAGCTATTCTAGTCCGTTTCCATGTTTGTCTCGGACCATTCTAGGCTACGTGGTGGCAGCTGCCCCTGCGCAAACCGTTTTTGTTTTGGTTGGTGGGTGGGGGAGCCCGTTCCCAAAGACGTTGAATGTTCAACATCCAACAGCCGTTCCAGGGCAAATCTTGCTGGTGCTCAGTGGGGAATGAGGGAATGAACCCAGGAATTGGTCTCCTTAAAGGAAACCACCAAAGTTGGATGGTTTAAAAACGGGGTCATAGATCAAACCAGTTCTCAGGGACCCTGCATTTCTCGCAGGGATCGCAAGTACGTCCTGGGCTGGCGCGGACTCTGAACAAACCAAACGCACGCGCCTTGCTTCTCCTCTCGCGGTAGGAAGAGCGCCGCGGGGCGTCGCCGTCCCTTGGCGTGCAAGAAGCTTCGCGGGTTTCACTTGTTTTGCGCCTGGATGTTCAGCCCACGTAGGAAACCATTGTTTATTGGCATTTACAGGGGAACCACCAATCCGGTGTTTCTCAGGTGGCGCGAAATGGATTTCCTCCATCCACAGCAGTTCCCTCCCAGAGGCTCCTGGCGCTTTCAAGCCCCCACCTCTCCATCCCCGCTTCGGTGCTTGGGACCCGGTCTCAGAACCTACCTCTTTGAGGGCCCGAAATACCCTGGAATCGGGGCCCCTGGGCTCAGAAGGTGTCCAACCTGCCTGTTGCCCATGCCTCAACCTTCAAATGGCCACGGCCCGGCCCTTGGGTTTATTCAAACTCCGGCCGAATGGCCCGCACGGCTTCCGAACATGCCTTCCCCTTTGCCCGGCCAGTCTGGTTCATCAACGCTTTTCGCCTGAACAATAGGTTTTGTGTTAAACCCTGATTGATTCATTGCGTTTGCTTCTTGAGGTGGTTTGCCTGGAGGAACAGCGTCCTATTGAGAGGGGAATGCTCAAACGATGATAGGTGCAATTGCAGGGACCTTTCTTTGTCAGCGGTCAACGTTAGGATAGTCCTTCATGAGAAAGGACAATCCAAAAAAGGCTGGAAGACATGCGGGCCGAAATGATGCAACTAACATGTTTCCAACAAGAAACCTTTCCTTCTTTCTTGGGGAACTGTGCATTTCAGTGGACGGGTGCTTTCTGGTCGGTTCACTTTTATACCCAAACCTGGGCTCCTTGGGCAACCCCTAAAAACAGCAAACAAAACGAACTCCTGAACAGGGGGTCTCTTGGTTTTAGGATACTCATCTGTTGGTTTCCTTTTTGTAACACACTTTCGGCACGTTCCCTTTCGTAAACTTCAAAATAGGGGGAGCCCAGAAATGGGTAGGTTACGGTTGCCCTTCACACCAGCCTTGACAAGGGCGCAGCCACAGCAAAGCGGCAACCACAAAATGGCCGCTTGCGAGCTAGCATCCCTTTAAACATGCGCAGCAGGGGCCATGAATCTTGCTACCATATCCTTACAGGACTCGCTCGCTGCCTCTTTAAAAGCAAATTTGGATACCCCCAGCCCCCAGCTCCTTGGCTCCCAACCACCGTCTAGGACATGACCACCGCTGTTGGGGCTCCAACTCTTAAAGCTCATAGCCAGGCGTTCTTGAAAGATTTGGACCCCTCACATGGTTCGTTTTCGTTTGGCGTCCCTTTACCCTCTGCTTAGATTGGTTCCAAAGGACCCCCTAACAAACCCGAACGCCTCTTATTTTATTTTTGTTTGGGGGGAGGAGGGACGTCTAAAAGAACCACAAAACCGAAGCAACTCTAGTGCTACCTTCCCCATTCTTTCCAGGGATCCTTCTTTCCAAAACACCTCCGGAAACCCCAAAAAACGGATCCGGTGTTCGAAAAGAACGATGGTTGGAGAGAATTGAAAATGAATCAACCCTTGGAACTACCTCCCCCCCCCAAAAAAAAAAAACGTGAGGGAATCCACCCTTAGAGCAATGCCCAATTTTGGGGAGGGACGTCTCCAAAACCCCCGAGCCGTCCATTCTGAGCGCCAGGCCCCGAGCCTCAAGCGACGGGCGGAACCGTGGCGAAGAACCGGGGGGGAACCCCTCTGTTGGCTTTTTCCGTTGGCTTGAGGAAAACAGGTGGGAATGTTAGGAACGGCTTGGGAAACCAAAGGTTGGCTTACCCTTGTTGGCTTCTTCTGCTGGCTCCGTTTCTTGGCGGAAGCTTTCTGTTTTAAGACCATTGGTTGGCTTGTCCTTGTTGTTTTTTCCGAGTTGGCTTGAGGACAACATGAGGGAAAGCCTCCATCTAGTTGGCGGCATCCATCTATTTTAAGACCATTGTCCATTTCTTAGGAACGGCTTGGGAAACCAACGGTTGGGTTACCCTTGTTGTTTATTGTCCGATGGGAAGCAAGCCTGCAACCTTTGCCCTCCAACGCACAATGGGTGCCATCAAGCTCTTGCGGGGCATGGTCGTGATTGCTGCGTCTTGGAGATACACAATCCAACGTGAGGGTTGATGACCACCCCCAGCCAAGCCCCAAACAGCCAGGTGTTTTTGGTCGCAAGTATCAAGTACACACCAACACACAAACACGCACACACAAGGAGGCTCACATGCCTTCACACAGGCAAGTGCCGTCTCGTAGACCGATATGATCTTGCTGGCAGGATCTATGGCACATCTTTCTCCTGGTCGGTCGGCCGGCAGGCGATCTTGTCCTCTGTGGGGTCGATCAAGATTTGATCTGCCCCATTTGAGTCGGCTGCCGGGTAAATGTCCCAGTTCACCGTCAGGCGGAACATGCAGTTTGACCCGGGCCAAAGACTTTTCACACGAAGCCGTTGAGTTGTTTCAGCAACCTGCATTCGGAGTCTCGTTGAAGACTCCCGCAAAAGGATACTCAAACAAAAAAAACATTCAAACTGGGTTTGTCCGTAGGGGAAGACCCCCCCATTTGCTGGTGTCTCCAATTTTACAATTCAGTTCCCTTTAAACAACCCCCAAACAGGAGCATATTTGTGGGAAACAAACATTTCTTTGCTACTCAGTGACAACTTTGTCACTTCAATTGATTTTCCTTGATATTAAATAAAAGTGGCCTTAGAGCCCAATTTGCCCCAGCCAATGAACCAAAAGGTGTCCTACCGTGTGGGAACCAAATTTCCCAGTTGCCAACTTCAGGGCTGAACTTTCTGACCGGACTTAAACCCCAGCGGTTCATTCCTCGATCTTTCAGGCGAACCCCAAACGGACTACCCGAGGTAGACCTAACTTGAGGGGTGGTTCATTTCCCCCTCCCCTCACTTTGGAGAGAACCCCAAACGAGACTTTTTGCAATCTAATGAGTCTAAACAGGTCCGCCCCATTGAGAGAACCCAGCCGAGTGTTTTCCATCAACCAGCGGAACCCAAAACTCAGATCCTTCGCTTCGACTCGCTGTGGCCCTGGCCCTTGGCTTCCTTCTCCCCGGCCTGGCGCCGCGCGAGCGGAACCGACGGGCTGAGACTCGGCGGTGGCCATGGCACTCGGAAGAGAAGATGCTCCTGAAATTCACAGGGGCAACCCGAAAAAGGGGTATCTAATATCCCCAAAAGACGGACGCACCAACCACATTGCCTTGAAACATTTTGCTCCAGGGCTGAGAGGTGAGCCCCCTGGCAAGGGGAGTGAAGATCTTAGGATTTTTTCGTCGACCCACAAAACAATTCAGCTCGCTGGTCATGTCTTCCTGACCTCACAAATGGCACAAAATCAAGGATACGCTAGTTAGTTATGGCGGGTTTTTGGGTTCCATGTTAAACTGGGGAGTACGTCTAGATGTTGCGTGATGCTTGGTCTACCCTATATGACATAGATTCGGAGGAGGCACCAGATCTGGGTGTGCTTTGTAGGGTACACTTTCGGGGGGGGGGGTGGTTTTGAAGGAAAACCAGAAGGAAACCAACCGCCTCGAGATGTCCCCCATTTTGAGAAAGCTGGGCCCCCCGACCCCGCTTGGGTGAGGATTTCATGCAGCAGTCAAATGGCTTTCCAAGGGTTGACGCTGGGGTGTGGATGTTTCTGAACAAGAGGATAAACTTGAAAACTCACGGAAAACAAAAAGCCTCCGGCCCTCTACTGAATCAGCACTATGCCTCCTTCCATGGAAGCTTGGTAATCGCTGTACCTTTGTCCTGTCCACTTCAGAGTAAAATTACACGAGCCACCAGGGGGCAAAACAAAGCAAACAACAAACACAGCAACCGCTTCTCGTCCTGTGCCCGCCCGGCCCCCCACCCTCAACCACAGTCCAATTCCATGAGCGGAAACAAATAGCCTGGGGAGTATGTGTGGGTCAGGACAGGCTAAGTGGAATTACACGTTTCTCCAAAGTAATGAATATGGCTCGTCTTTTCTAGGGGCCCTTTTCTTTCCAAGTGGCTTCGCTTTTACTGGTGGCTTCCCTGTAAACCAACCCCAAACAGGGTACCCTCAAAAAGGCACACCCCCTGGGCTTTCATTTGCTTCTTCGTCCCCTGCAAAAAAACAACAACATGTTTCCAGTAGTGATACATTCCAATGGAGGGCCATTTTTTTAGGATTTTTTCTGTTTTTTTTTTGGAATTATTTTTGTTTTCCAGGGTGGGTGGCTTTTCGGCTTTTTGGCTTTTGTGGCTTTTACGTGGGTTTTTGTGGCTTTTGTGGCTTTTCATTTCGCATCCTCTGCATTCACAGTTCCTCTCTTTCGCATCCTCTGCATTGCCAGTTCCGCTGGCTTTTTGGCTTTGTGGCTTTTGGCGGCTTTCTGGCTTTGGCTTTTCGCATCCTCTGCTTTCCCAGTTGGTTTTTGGCCTTGGCTTCCTGCATCCTCAGCATCGCAAGTTCCTCTCTGGTGCCCCCCGCACCCCCCTTTCGACTAAAATACACGCCTAATTGAATCATCACTTTTTCGAACATCATGCGACAGCTGCTTTTTAGATTCTTTGGCGGCCGTTTTACAGGGATTAGTTTGCCCGTGATTGAATCCTCACTTGTACCATGAGGCCTTGCCGCAGAGGAACTGATGACCCCCCGCTGCGTTTTTTATATTTTTTTGGCCCGAATTGAATCATCACTTTTTCAATCATCGTGGGGGGGGGGCTGCCGCCCCCCCCAACCCCCCCGCTATTTTTTGGACTTTTTGCCCCTGTTTGAATCATCGCTTTTTCGATCATCATGCGACCGCTGCTTTTTAGATTCTTTGCCCCTAATTGTTCGATCATCATGGGGGGGGGGCGGCAGCCCCGCTATTTTTTAAACTTTTTGCCCCTGATTGAATCATCACTTTTTCGATCTGCAGGGATTAGTTTGCCCGTATTTGAACCCTCACTTGTACCATGAGGCCTTGGCGCAGAGGCACTGATGCCCCCCCCGCTGCTTTTTTATATATTTTTGGCCCTCATTGAATCATCACTTTTTCAATCATCATGGGGGGGGGTGCCGCCCCCCCCCCCCCCCAACCCCCCCGCGCCTTTAATTGAATCATCACTTTTTCAATCATCATGGGGGGGGCTGGCGCCCCCCCCAACCCCCCCGCTATTTTGGACTTTTTGCCCCTAATTGAATCATCACTTTTTCGATCATCATGCGACCGTTACTTCTTAGATTCTTTGCCCCTAATTTTTCGATCATCATGGGGGGGCTGCCGCCCCCCTTCAAGGGGGGACTGCCGCCCCCCCCAACCCCCTCTGCGCCTTTAATTGAATCCTCATGCGGGAAGCCAATTTGCTGGTGATGCTGGCGATGTTGGCTGGACATGCGGGGGATGTTGAAAACGATGCTAATGATGTTGACGGACGCGTAAAATACGTACATTTCGCAAGAAAATGCTGTAAATTACAGCATTTTAGCAGCCAGGACGGAAAACAAAAAAAAACCCAAAATAAAACAAAACAAAATCCCAATCGACCCAATTGCAATTGAAACCAACCAGGGGAAACAACAATATATATGTATGTATATCTAGATAAATACACATTTACATACATATCAACATATATATATATATATATATATCTCACACCATATATATATATATACATTAAACAACAACACATACACACACATATTCCTTAAGCAAATCGGATCCTGGGTTGGTCCAGCGGATCAAGGTTGCTCGCGGCCTCTGGAGGCTCCAGCTTGGACGATCTCAGGTTCTTCTTGTAGCTGCGATTCAGCGTCTGACGGCCAGGCGGCAAAGCGCAACCTCCATTTGGTTAAGTCCCCTGGAAAACATATTTCGAGTAGTGATAGATTCCATTCAAAACCAACAGGTGAACATAAATAATATTATTAACCAAATTGAAGGCACTCCCCCAGGCTAACATGGAAGCGCCAAAGGCCGGTAAATGGAACCAATTCAGCCAAGTCTTCCAAAGAGGTGCGTTCGGGAGTTTCCATATATTACTCTGGGGGAGGGTACGCACAAATCACACAAAAACGAAGAAAAGACATAAAGAAACGCACACACACACACAGACAACCACAGAGACAAAGACACACAGAGGCACACGTGCATTTGTGGAACCCGTTTAGGGGTGTTTAGGGTGTTGTTGAAACCATTTCTTGGTTGATGAAAAGAAGCAACTCATTGGAGGGATCTCTAATTGCATGGTCCTATTATGATCTTCTAGGCACAAACCATGTGGGGAGCCTGCTTGGATCCTGAGATCACGGACCAAACCTTGAAAACTGTCACTGCCGTCACCCGGAACGGACTGGGAACCCTAAGAAAGTCAACCATGACCCGCAAATTCCAGTCCCAAGGAACGCACTCGATGGAGGGGCCAGGACTTGTTGGTGTCCTCACAAGTCCCCAGTCACATGCGGAGGTTCGCAACAACGGGCGCATGTGACAAATGATGGAACCTGATTAAAAGCATTCTTGTTCATTAGGCACTTTTGAGAGGTGTACATGGATGTGAAAAGTCATCCGGCTGGCCTGGAAACACCGTGCACAGAAAACCACTTGCAAACCGAGGGCAGCTGCTTCCAACAATATATACCTGCAGCAACATGACATGGGTCTCATCTGCCAACTAGCCTCATACTTGTCGAAACTCCATCCAGCAGGTGCCTGTCTGCCTTAACGCAGCCAAGAATGCTGAATGTAAAACCTACGTCCACAACCTGCGTCCAAAACCAGGCGTGGCCAGTCAAAGTAAAACTAGGTCCTCCAGTAGAGAGGTTAGAATCGCTAGAATAAGGGTACCTTTGGTACCAACCTTTTGTCTGCAGTCTATTTTAGTAGGGAACCCTCCCCCAAAAAAGAAACGGTCAAAGGGCACCTAGCTGGGAGACCTAGAAAAAGATCTGGGCCGAACGAGCGAACCCCTCCTGTGAGTCCAAGGATTTCCTGCGCTCGTCCGTGGAGGCCCGCCGACCTTGCGGGGCAGAAAAGGCGCGGCTTTTCCCAAGGGAACCGGAGAACTCCACTCACCAATATATTTTGGGGCTGGACCTTCTAGGGTTTGGGGTTTAGGGTTTAGGGTTTGGGGTTTTCTTTTTGAGTCTGCTTTATTTGGACTTGCTTTTCACCCCCCCCCCCCAAAGCGTAAGACAACAAAGGGGCCTGGAAACCTTGAGACAGCACCCGCTTCATGTTGAGAACATCGACGAGTGGACTATGCGGTTTCGTCTTTTGAGGGTATATTCGTTTTGGGGTGGCCTTTCAAGGGAAACCAAAAGGAACGAACACCTTTCTCCCGTGGCTCCCCCAGTTTGAGACATACCCAGGTAGCCCTAGCTGTTCGACTTGCAGGCGCAGGGCTCCAAGCTAGAGCGAAACCAAAATCAGAGCCTCCCGCTTCCTATCGCGTCCTCTCAAAACGCAACACCCCCAAGATGGCAAGTCAAATCCTCATAGAAACTAGCTATGGGAAATCGTTGAAATTGGCCAAATGCACCAGAAGCACGGGTTCCTGGTAGATTTCCCATGGACTAAACACCAATGGATGTCAACTGTAGATTTTCATTGTTTCCTTGGAAGGACGGGAATAGCAGGGTGTTTGGCTCAAGGAGACGCTTCTCCCAGCATATGAAACCCGCAACTGGGTCAAGTCCTCTCGGTTGGTGAGTAGTAATAGACAAACAAGTCGGCCGATTCGATGATTGCCCCATTCGATGATTAGACGAACACCTGTGCTAAAGGTAACAGCAAAAAAGGTGTTAACAAGGACACCCGATGTTGGCCCTCGGAAATACACGCCTTTCCCCACGAGGGGCACCTCCAACGCACTGCTCCCTGTGGTTGCAAAGAAGCAAGAAGCCGCGCCCTTGCGGTGCTCGAAGACGTTCCGCGTTTTCAAGGCAGCCTTTGCCCTGGAGGTGGTCATCCGCGGTTTGGCTCGCCTTGAGGACCCTGAGCTGCTCAACCGGGCCGCCTCCGCAGCGAGAGCTGTGCTGGGGAGCTCTGGATTCACCTTCTTGCCGAGCGCGGACCCAAACGCCCCAGCGCTTGCGGTGGGCCTTGAACTTCGTGAGCACGGCCCGCACCCGGGCAGCTGTTGTGATGCTTGAACGCTACATGAGCTGCCAAAGGAGTGTGGTGTGCCGGTAGCTCAGGTGTTGTCGCTGACATTGCTGCATGTTGATCCCCATCAGGATCCGAAACTGGACCCCTCAAATGACAGAACTGGTCAGTGGTTGTCCGCTGAATATCGCTGAATTCACGTGTGTGTCTTTTTCAGGGAGCCCCCCAAAAAAGGCGTTTTTTTTCCCGTTTGGTTTCCCCTGAACAAACCGCAACTCAAACAGGGGTGCCCCGCCACACGTAAGAGACACCCCATGGATCCTGCTAACCCCTGGTGGCCTGGTGGGTTGGGCAGGTGGCCTTTAAAAACTTGTCGCTCAGACACGTCCTAAATAACTAGGTCCTGCAGTGGAGAGGTTAGCATCAGGGTACCAACTTCTTTCTGTGGTCGATTTTAGTAGGGGAACCCTCCCAACCAAAAAAGAAACGGTGAGAAAGGGCACCTAGCTGGGGGACCTAGATACACATCCCTTCGCGCGAGGTTGGAGCGAAAGAGCTGCGGATCGGATCCCCGGCCTGCCCTTCCGTGGATGCGAATCCCCGGGTCTGTCTTTTTGTTGGAGGGATTTCCACCCTTGGGGGGTGGTGAAAAAGGGAAACCCAGAGGAAAGCGGAAGCCATGTTGGGGGTCCAGCCTTCAGATGCAGCCAGAACCGCGGTGTTGGGGACCCATGTTTGGGCTCAGGTACAACTCGAATGACTCTGATCAAAGTGGGGACGAAAAGCTGAACTCCCAGCTATGAGAGCCCTGACAATACTGTTGGTTCTCCAAGATCGGACAACACGGTTGGCCCCAAAGGGTCTTTTATGAACACAATTCTCCACCCCCCGTCGCCCCAAACCAGTAGTCGTAGACTACCAATATTGATCGAACCTCACACGTAGTGGGGACATCGTGTCTTTGTTGGCTGACCTTTGTTGTGTCGGACACCCACAAAACCACACACGGGCTAGTCTAGAAACCGGTTTGGATGCGCCTTTATTTCACCGGTTCTTCCCCCTGCTGGTCCTTTTTTAATACTCTTTTAGTACTCTTTTAAGCTTCTACAGGGGTGGAACCACAACAAAACCACCTTCAAACCGTTTTCTAGAGCTAGCGCCACCGAAGAACTGGATCCCATCCGCCCACCCACCCACCCAAAAACCCGCCTGCACTGGCCTTCTTGGCCCCGCCGTCCCTATTCGAGGCGAGGCGAAGCGAACGGCCCGGCGCGGGAATTCTGACCCCGCGCCGAACCAAATCCCCCACGTTGAGCGCTTGGTCCACTTGTGAGGGTTACAAAGCATAGCTACAAGAGCACGGACCCCTGTCAGAAGTTACAACCATGGTGCTGACCTACGTAAGTGGGTTGAGCATCCAAGAGCACCCTCTCATGGGGTAGTTCAACAAATACTGGCACAACAAACATGAGAAAACCATTTCGACAGGAGATTGGCGCAGGTTCAGGCCGATACCGGAAACGCTGCAAGGCTCACTTGAGTGGATGGCCCACAAAAGGTCTGAACTTTCTGTTCGCCATTCAAATGGTCTTCCCAAAAAGTCTAGGTCCTCCAGTAGAGAGGATAGAATAACGGTACCCTTTTTTCTGTAGTCTATTTTAGTAGGGGAGCCCTCCCCAAAAAAAGGGCAAAAGGGCACTACTGGGGGACCTAGACGTTTAAAGTCCAGGAACTCGATCGGAAGTGAGAAGGCCAAGTCCTCAATTCCAGGACAACCCCCGCCACATGGTCAAAGCACCACTTTGCCATCACGCCCAGCGGAGAGATTTGCAGCGGATCTTTGGTGTGTTGGAAGCCAAGCCGATGAAGTGTTTAAACCCTGTCCGGAAAACGAAACAACGCCTGAATCCAAGATGGCTTCCACTACCCCAAAACCGAAGCTATCCCCAGGAGGTTCATGGGATGTACCGCAAAAAACGCCACCAAAGGGTGTGTACCAACCAATCTTCAATGGGGGCAGCTTCGGTTTGTGGGTACTGGAAACACCCCGAGACCCCGAGCGCCTCCATCTCATGAATGAGACGACGCAGCACACCACGATCATCAGGAACAGAAACTCAGCACGACCCGGTCTCGGACGTATTCGCACGTCTTGTGGAAACCTGCCAAAAAATTGGATCGTCCTTTTCACCCCTAAGACAACTACCCTCCCACCGACTAACATGGAAGTGCACAGACCCCTGCAGAAAGACTACTTTCCTCTTGGAAAGGGGCTTTGTGCACTTCCATGTTGGTTGGTGGGAGGGTATCCATCTTCTGGTTCCTTTTCAGGCAAATAGACAACGGGCTATGCAGCCCCCAGAGGCGCGTCACTGATTGGTCTTTTGTGCCGGGCCATGAAGTTGAGAAGCTGCCACAAAGGCAGCTTCCAACATCTCCGGGCACACTATCTATCCTAGGGCCTCCAGTAGAGAAGTTGGAAGAAGGGTACCGTTTTTTCTTCTGTAGTCTATTTTAGTAGGGGAACCCTCCCCAAACAAAAAGGTAAAAGGGCACTACTGGGGGACCTAGTATCTCTACAAAATCCGGAAGTGGCTTCCCTTTGGCTCCAAATGACAAAACCACCGAGCGCAGGAAAAAGTCCGGAGCTCTCCAACTAGCTACCGAGCCCCCAAGAAATCCACAACTCCCGCGCGAGATCAATACGAGGCAGCCGCTGTGCCCACCATCCACATCATGCTGCTCTTGTCACTTTCCGCCTGCTGCTGAGTAGGATCGGCGCCGAGTAATCAAAGCTCCGGCGATCGGCGGTGCGCCCAAAAAGACCCAAAGCCCCCAAAGCCCCCAAAGCCCCCAAAGCCCCCAAAGCCCCCAAAGCCCCCAAAGCCCTCAAAGCCCCCAAAGCCCCCAAAGCCCCCAAAGCCCACAAAGCCTCCAAAGCCTCCAAAGCCCCAAAGCCCCCACAGCCCCCAAAGCCCCCAAAGCCCCCAAAGCCCCCAAAGCCCCCAAAGCCCCCAAAGCCCCCAAAGCCCCCAAAGCCCCCAAAGCCCCCAAAGCCCCAAAGCCCCCAAAGCCCCAAAGCCCCCAAAGCCCCAAAGCCCCCCCCCAAAGCCCCCAAAGCCCCCCCCCCAAAGCCCCCAAAGCCCCAAAGCCCCCAAAGCCCCCAAGCCCCCAAAGCCCCCAAAGCCCCCCCCCAAGCCCCCAAGCCCCCCAAGCCCCCCAAGCCCCCCAAGCCCCCCCAAGCCCCCCAAGCCCCCAAAGCCCCCAAAGCCCCCAAACCGCACGGGTGGTCATCGCCCGCCCCAAAAAAGCGGCAATTCCTGGCGACAAAGCCAGGAAAACCACCGTGTGAAAGGAGCCAATGGAGAGAAAACAACTCTTGGTGGCACTGGCACATTGGTGGTGATTTGCCCCCTTCCAAAGTTTGACTAGTGTACACACATGCTCCCAGACAAACAAATGCAATTCGGATCCGACCAAACAGCAAAGGCTGTTTTGAAATCAATCTGGTCAAACCAGCCCATGGCAACCCCAAAACCCTGGAAGAGTAGACAATACCAGTTGTCCATTCTGTTGCTATTTGAGCGGAGCCCTTGCGGCTTTGAAGCTTAGGAGTTTCGTGAAGGAGCGGACTCCCGGGCCGGGGTCTGTCTTTTGTCGAGTTGGCCCCCATGTTGTGGTGTTTTTTTGGAAGGGGAAAAACAAACACTTGCAATTTGTTGGGGGCCCCCTAAAAAGACACACCCACATGGATGTGTCTTGACACGTGGGGAACCTCCGGAATGGGTCAACCCGGAAAAGGGTACCTCGCCAAAAGGAAACAAACAGAGTGTTCATACGCCCATGGTTGGTCTATGTTGGTCTGATGGGAAACAAGTCAGATGATATGCTGCACCCATGGCATCAGGATCTGTGAGTGCGGTAGCCTCCGAGAACTGTTCAAACCTGGCTAGGAGAAATCGCAATTTCTGGGTCACCCAATGTTTGAACAGATCGGAACTGGCAGAAACTTCCAAAACAGGATAAACCATATTTGCCCATGCTAAGCAGACTGCAAACAGACACTACCAAACCAGGATTCAAGCCACGCTTGCCTATTTGCCTCGTTCGCCCATGCCACACTCCCCGGCGTTCCGGCGTTCCGCGACAGCTCGCCTCCTTGTTTCCTATGACCTCAGCCTCATCTTCCGCCTGCGAGATGCAAAGTGAAGTGAAGCATTGTGTGTTTGCTCCATTTGCCGCGACACATCTCGCAGACTTGAATGATTTGTGCCGTAAAAAAATCGACAGCTGGAGCACGGCTACCTACAACCGCCAAAAAAAGCACAATTTCAAATAATTACACGCCTTTCTTCGGCCGCCATCATCATTGCCAAATGCGAAAACAACAGTTCAGTGCTTCTTTGAGGTCGTCACACCACCTGCCAAAAACATCCGAACACCACCTGGCTTTGTTTGCCAACTCAGCCCGCATCTACCCTTAACGTCAATACGGAACACGAAAGAGCACCCTCCAAGGATTCCTCTTCCTATGACTATATATATATATATATATATGTGCCATGGTCAAAAGACATCTTTACTTGGGGTTGACAGGCATGGTCATCCTCATGGTCGTAAGGATCCTGAATAGACATGAAAACAATTCCTATTTAGGGAACCATGACAAGGCCCAGGAGTTTCACCAGGTCGCCTCACTGCGGAGGATTCGCTCAGATGCCCAGTTCCCATGGGGAAAAATAAATTGGCATCCGATTTGTTTGGTTGGTTGACTTTAAAGGAGTCGGAACCCGAAACCCCCAACAAAAAGGTTGAGCACACGGGAAGTTAAACCCACTGGTTGCCACTGGGTTGGCGTATTGGTATTTTAGGGTCCTTGGCTGCAAGACATGTTGAAACAAGCGGAAGCCACCCACTGGGGAGCACCTGGGATCGACAAAGCAAAGCAACACATGGGCTCCCCGAGCCCCAAACAACTCCCGAGCTGAGCACCCCTGCGGGCGGCGCGGCGGCGGCAACTACCCTCGGAAGTGGAAACCCCGAGCGAACATCACACGTGACCTATAGACGAAAAAGACATCCACCAAGGAAAACACGGGTTTACAGAACAACATATTCGTAGAAGCAACATTTTGAAGACGTTTCAACATATGCTTGAAACGGTGAGCACGTGATTTGAGACCAATTAATAACCAAAACGCTTGGTAGTGCGAAAGCGGGAAGCTTAGACACAAGTTGCCCGCTGGAAATCCTTTGAGAATTCGTCTTGCCATCCGCATGGGCTTGGGCTGGGCAGTCCTTGGATCCCCTGCTACTAGTTTTGACTTTTAGTGAATCAAATGGGCACCCAACCACTAAACCAACTAAAACTTAACAACTCAAGCAACCGGATGGCTGGGCTTGCCACCAAGTGGGATGGGTACATCTTGTGCTTTGGCGACCCGGGCTGGACTGTTTTATGCCTTAGTTCTCAAGTATTTAGCAGGGGATGGATGAACCCCTGACAACCTGCATAAACCACCTGGTAATTCCCAAAACCAAAAAGGGCACCTGCCACTCCTACCACTGTTGGAGGTCCTAAAGTAACATTTTGGAGGTCCAAAGAGACATTGAGGGGCCCAACTTTCTTGTGTGCCCCTGACCCGCTGGACATCTAGTTGGAGTCAAAACCCAGGGTTGACCCCACCCAGAGATTTTAGAACGGGAGATCGGTGGGTCTTTTCAAGAGGACCGCCGAAATGGGCTTTAGGTTTTCCCTGACCAACCCGAAAAGGCTTCCAACTCAGACTCAACCAAAAAATCATCCAGCAAAGCTGCCACACAGCCACTATAGAAAACCCTACTTTCCGGACCAGACACTGTTAGTTGAAAACTGCTTTGTGCAAAGAGCCTAGGTCCTTCAGTAGAGAGGTTAGAATAAGGGTGTCCTTTTTTCTGTAGTCTGGTTTAGTTTAGCAGGTGAACCCTCCCTCCAAAAAAGGGGTGAGAAAGGGCACTGCTGGGGGACCTAGGAGCCATCGTTGACAAGAATGACCATCGAACAAACCTCGAGAGTCGGTAGCAGCTCACTTGCCGGGACCCGGGCATGTGCTCCTTCGCCTTCGAGGCATTTGAGCTGTGGTTGGCATGCTTCGGCTCCTGTCGCCACGTGGGCCGCATGCGAACCGATCGGGGTGGTGTTTGGGTGTTACGCTTTACGGGTTTTGCGGGAATCCCTGAATTTGGGTCTTGGGCTTGAAGCCACAAGTTCTCACTTGGCCTTACGGATGGGTTTTGTGGGAATCGGTGGGCGTTCAACAAGTTCTCACTTGGACTGGCCAAACGTCCAAACTTTTGATGTTTGCCACTAGCTTTGGGACCCAACAAGTCATAAGCTAAGGGGGCGAGAGCTAAACCTTTTGCTTCAGGGCAACAGGCCATTTCCTCTACAAAAATCCGGGGCCTCAAGAGGGTGGGCTTAGAAACGGCTTCCTGTGGTTTCTCGGTTGAAAACAATCCCAAAGGGGCGCTCACGCTGTGTCTAAAGCCAAACAACTCCAAGACAGACCCAGTTCTGGTACACACTCTACAGTCGGCCTGGTAATTTGGAAACCGCATGTGCCTCTTGAAAGGGAGCGCGCATTCAATGTGACCAAGTACACGAGTACATCAAAGCCAACAGGGGACCAGCTTGCCATCTTGGCCATGGGAAACACACGGGCTATATCATTACACAATGCTGGACTATATAATACCTGCGACATGGGTTCTACAAGCTGCGTTGTAACATGTTGCACTGAAAGGACAAAGTTTGAGGGTTTGTAATTCTCCCCCAGGATTTTGCTGTGAGACAGGCCAATAGGCATGTAAATTCCTAGCAGCAGTTTCACTGCCAGAAGCTTGATCCAGCTAGATGAATCCAAGGCCGGCTGTGATCTGAGTACCCCAGCAATCAGGTTGGGAGATTCAGCGAGCAAGAACCAAGGTGTCAAACAAACCATCTCTACGCCTTCCCCCTTTTGGGGTGGCTCCTTGTAAGGAAACCAACTGGAAAACCGGTGCCCAGTTCCAAGCCATCGAGCAAGTGACCCAGGCAGGGCAGGGAATCAACATGGGGTGCACGGAGGTGCAATGCCATTGACACATGGGGCGGCTCGTCTTGTAGGGGACCCACCAACAGAACTCGTTTGCTTTCTGCCCCCCTGCTAAAGGTTTAACTTTTAGTGGTTTAATGGAAACCCATTAGTTGGCAAAGAGTTAAAGTCCTAACATCCAAGCAAAATGAACCAAAGATAATTGGTGCTCTTCCTTTTGGCTTCGCTTTACCACCAAAGAAGGGCGGAGCCCACAACTCGTACCGCCGATTGTGGTGGTGTGGGTGTTCAGTTGCACTTAACACAACACAGCGCGGCCAACACATCTGTAGGAATTCCTATGGTTCTTCAGCTTGAATTGAGGGATACTGTGGATGGCTTGAATTGAGGGATATATACTGTGGATGGACGAAATCAATTTCGGCCATTTCGCACGACTTTGAAGCCATGGTTGAACCAGAAAGAAGGGCTCCCTAGGCAGGATTTCGCAACCATCCGTAGTAGGGCCGCCAAATCCCTCGTTTTGGCTCCTTGCTTCCGGAGGATCAAGGTATTCAACCCATGGCTTGCTCAGACCTGGCTTCCAAGTGACAACTTGTTGCAGCATAAAGCAAGGGAAAACGAGGACAACCCCAAAAGGGTCTTCAGGGCTGCCGGGCTGAACAAAATAATCATTTAAGCCTGGCCTTGCTTGTGAATGCAAGGTTCGCTTCCCTCGCGGCCATGGACACATGTCCACCCTTGCTTGTAAGTGCGGAACCAACTGGTGGAGGAAAACAAACTGTCTGCCAGAATACTCTTCCTGACTCTTCTGTGGCCCGAAAAGACAAAAGAAAACCCCCATATACCCCCAGTCCTCTGGTTGTTCCTAACACTTCTGACTTCTGACGCTTGCTTCGTGTTGGTCACACCCCTGGTATGGTTGCAACAGAACCAAGAACATCAAAAACCAAAACCACCTGTCAAGCCAATAGAACGAAACCACCGGGATGGGCTGGGTAACCGGGACCTGCCCTCCCTCGCGCCTCCTCCTCCTCCTCTTGGGTCGTTTCTTCCACTTCCGCAGTCGTCGCTGCCACGGTCGTCGCCGCGGCCGTGGTGGCCGCAGCGGTCGTGGCCGCAGCGGTCGTGGCCGCAGTGGTGGCGGCAGTGGTGGTGGCCGCCGTGGTGGTAGCCTGGCAGACGCGGAGTCAGGGGGACTGATTGAGTGATACTGTGGATGGACGAAATCCATTTCGCATCACCTAAGACACGCTGGACTGATGTTTCCCCCCAGCATACCAACAAACAATGGCTTCCCATGGTTTCAAAGTGGTGCAGGATTTCGTCCATCCACAGTATTGGAGCTGTATCTGGAGGACTGGAGCAAAACAGGACACTGGAGCAAAACCGCATCCAAAGATGTGTTCAAGTTGCTCAGACCGTTTGGGAGGGTCAACCGAGGTTCCGGTTCGCACAGGCTCCCCAAGCTCCGAGCCCCTTTTGCAAACCTGGGCACCGGAAGCCTGGGGCGGTATGCTAACCTCGAGGTAAGGTTCGAACTGAGCTACCCTGTCAGCCGAGAGTCTTGTATGCGCCGCAGTTCCCATGCGGGGGGGAGGTTGGGGTTGGGGTAGTATGGGATAGTGGAAATCATCTAAAAACCATCTTCCTTCTTCTCAGTACTGCAGCAAGCGCTCAGCATGGCACCCATGCCACCCATGCCGCCCATGCCACCCTTCCCACCGGCCTCCACCACCTGCACGCCGCCGCCCATCATACCATTGCCCGTCATGCCATTGCCCATCATGCCATTGCCCATCATACCATTGCCCATGGACATTCCGCCAGTGGACATGGACGGGCTCATCACGACCTGGCGCCAAATGTACCATGGGCAAAGCTCCGCTATGGTCATGGTGCCCTTAGTCAGAATGCTTATGGTGGTCCGAATTTGTTGAGCACAATTGCCCAAGCACAGTCTGCATGAAATATACTGCCGAAATCTCTGGAATGCTGTGCGGAAACCATCAGCAAAACCGAGGTCCGTTTTGCTTCTGACCCCTTTTGCCAAGGAACTCATACTTGGTTTGTTTCTGCTCCCAGGGCAGGAAAATCCGCCACCAAAATAACTTGTTTAACTTCAAACGAGATGGGTTTGTCTCAACATGGTGAATCCCACAGAAGGGTTGGTTTTCTCTTGGGCTTTCGAACCACAAAAAAAAGGTTGTACCCTGTAATTACTCCCCAAAACAAGACACACCCAAATATCTGGCTCACTTCCCGAAGTAAAGAGTGGAACAGGCCAGCTGCGCCGGCTGCCGCATGGCTTCGATGCTGCCATTGGCCAGGACCTCGCGGAGCCAGTGGGCCATTGTCTATTGAAGGTGTTACAGCAGAATGTACGGGCTTGTCTCAAAATTGGGCGACCAACCAAAAACCATATTCATACAAGAGGGTGTGAGCCCTCCAAAATAGACTTTTCTTTTGGCTTCCCTTTGAAGCCCACCAAAAAGGGTATTGACCAAAATCACACCCATATATATATATATATGTATATATATTCCTCCCACGAACAAACATGGAACCCAACAAAGGGTCCCTTTAGGAAAACGGTCTTCTAGGAACCCCTCTCCGTGTTCCATGTTGGTCCTTGGGAGGGTAGCCATGACTCAGCGTTTCAGCTTCAACGCCACAAAGGTTAGGGACCAGACCCGCCTCATTCCCCCCCCCCCGCCCACCCCATCTTGGGAAATGGGGGGGCGGGGGGTTCTAAGTATGGGGATTCCAAGTATGGGGTGGGCGGGGAGGGGGGGTTCTAAGTATGGGGATTCTAAGTATGGGGTGGGGGGGGGAGGTGGTAAGTATGGGGATTCTAAGTATGGGGAGGGGGGGGGGGGGTTCTAAGTATGGGGGGGTGGGGGTTCTAAGTATGGGGGGGTGGGGGTTCTATTTATGAGGTGGACATTATGACACAAATAACCCCCATCCTTTACAGCAGCTCCTCGCATGCACATGTGAGACCAACCTTCAGGGCCTTCTCCGACTGCCGAAACACATTCCCGAAACACGCATGGGGCCTTGCCAAGAGGTCCTGTCAAGGCCATCTATCCATCAAACCGTCCAGGGACCCTAGCAGTCTTTTGGGTGTATCCCAACGTGAAAAGCTGCGTTTTGGGTGGGCTTTCAAGGTACCCAAAGGAAGTTGCCATGTCGCATTTGTCGGGTACCATATTCTAGGCCCCCGCAACCAAAAGGCCCGCTGTTGAAAGCCACCGTAGGTCTCCCTTGTTGGGACACACCATGTTGACTCTCAGTTCCCTCAAAGGATAAACCCAACAACCGCCTGCTTTAAAAGGCGACACTCTACATCAGCCCCAATGGAGCAGTGCCCACATTCGAATTTTGGCTCTACCAAGGATATAAGGGCTTATAATATAGGCCTTACTATGAAACCAGGTAGAACTACTCAAATGGACAAAGGGGATCCATCTATCCACCGAGACCAAATCACAAGTTCATCAATTTAACTGGTGGCTTCTATGGAAACGATCGCCACATTTGGAGGTTCCCAGAAAGGGACATGGCTCGGAAACCCAATTAAAGGGATCCAACATAATGAAGAAACAAAAACATAGTGGATGGACGAAATCTCTTTCGCACCGCATAAGAATCCCTGGAATGATACGATTCTCCTGTAAATACCAACAAACGATGTGGCTCCAACCATGCTTTCTCCAGCAAAGAGGAAAGAATAAGGGTATCCTTTTTTCCGTAGTCTATTTTAGTCGGGGGACCACCCTCCCCCCAAAAGAAAACCGGTAAAAGGGCACTGGAAGACCTAGAGGTGGTGACGGATGTCGCAACCATCGCTTCCCCGTGGCCTGGAGCTTCAAGGCCTCGCTGTCGCTCTTGCGCATCAGCCGGTGGTTCCTGGCGGCACACAAAGGGCTTGCGCAACCGCCGGCGGACGGGCGGACGCTGCGGTTGCCGCAAAAATGGATGGGGCAAGCCGCACGGGAGTCTGCCCTCGCTCTTTCTTTCTCTCTCCCTATCTCTCTCTCTCTCTCTCTGCCTCCCTCTCTCTCCCTCTCTCTATCTCTCTCTCCCTCGCTGTCTATCTCTGTCTCTTTCTATCTCTGTCTCTCTGTCTCTCTGTCTCTCTGTCTCTCTGTCTCTCTGTCTCTCTGTCTCTCTGTCTCTCTGTCTCTCTGTCTCTCTGTCTCTCTCTGTCTCTCTCTGTCTCTCTCTGTGTCTCTGTTGAGATGTGCTGTATAACAATACGTCTCTGTTCCGGATCAACGGTCTCAACTGATCCTGTATTTGTTTACACCCCTCTCTCTCTCTCTCTCTTTCTTAGTTCGGTCTTTCTCCCCACCAATGCTTCCAGATACCACTTTAGTACATCATGAGAGGGAAACCACCATGCAGACTTATCCAAAGGCAGCAACTAAGTAGGTTACCAAAGTGGCAACTAGAAGCAATATTGGCTTCAAGGGAGACCAACATGAAACATCACAACTTGTTAAGCCATCCCCAGTTTGACGCTGACACATACCCAGGTCCCCTCTTTTCTCCGTTCTGTCGCACACGTCGCGGAGGTCGTTGGACTGCCATTCGGGCACATCGGGGTCGTCCACTTCCAGCGAGCCCAGCACTGACGGCTCCACCTCAAGCGCTGCGCATGGGAACCGAAACCAAGCGGCCGGAGGTGTTTTTTTGCTTCGCACCGGCTCCGGGAACTCGGGCCCTGAGCTTTTCAAGATCAACACGGCAGCCGGCACTTCTGAAAATCAAGAAAACTGCAGTGAGTGCCAAACAAGTTTTTGGGGCAGTCCCCCGAGTGCAGCAAGCACAAGCAGCAGAATCAGACAGTGAGCCAACCACCCAACGGACCAATTGGCCGTCCAACCAACCAACCGACCGACCGATCGACCAACCAACCAACCAACCAACCAACCCGTGCCCGACCGGTGCTAGACACCATGACGGTGCGAAGCCAAAACAAACATTGCAATGGGAACCACAGAAGTTACAAGTTTGTGAATTGCCCAAGCCCCAGAAACAATGGGCGTTTCTGAACAGAAGGCTGGAGCTTTGGAAACCGCCTGCTTTACAAGGGCATCCTTTAAATGAGCTGGCACTTGGGAGATTCTAACACTGGCATGACATGAACTACAATCTGCGAAGGACCCTGTTCAAATCGACCGAACTGCACCCGCCTTGTCGCAATTGCCCTGGCCATGGTCTCGATCGCGGCCGGTGGTTCGCGCAGTGCCGAGCCAGGCCAAGGAGCGCAGGAAGAGGCCGCAGCTGCCGAAGAGCAGCAGGGCTGTCCTCAGACTGCGACCGGTGACCGGACACCTCTCTCAGAGAGGAGCAACCCCACCCCACCCCACCCCACCCCACCCCACCTCACCCCACCCCACCCCACCCCAATCGGTGACCCGAACGGTAGTGGAACCGTTTCTAGTTGGGATTGAATCGTAATCTCGGGCGAACCCGAGAACAGAAAATGAGGAATATTTTGTGGGTGGCAATGAATAACTGTGGACACTCCTCTCTGTGCGAGGTGCTTCTTGTGTCCGAGTGAAAATTGAATGTAACCAACGTGAGACAGGCCGGGCCCCAGCAAGAAACCTTTGGAGGTTGCCTCGCGAGGAGGCGGCAACATGTCCAGAATGCATTCCATTCTGGGATCCAAGAGACATAGGGCCTCAACGCGGTTCTTCAAAACGACGATGCAACATCCCTCCAAAAAAGAAGTGAAGTTGGGGTTGGCTCCACATGAGGTCTGTTTACAAGCTCCCTAACATCCACCAATGTGAATGATACTCCAAGAAACAAAGAAATGGTAGTCCAGCCGCGCAGCTTTGGTTTTGACCCATGCCCAAAGAACAAGGAATCATGTCCTTTCTCCAAACAGAAGTGGACAAGGGGACTTAAACCCCAGGGTTCCGCTTTTGGGGGTATTGACCCACCGGGTTTAAGTCTAGCCTGGGGTAGTCAACAAGTGGAGCCCCGAATGCCACCCCGCCTGTCGACCCGTCGATGGAATCGATGGATTCGACCGAGGCGCGACAGCGCGCAGGCATCGTCGCAGGTGTCGCTGAGGCTGAGGTCCGAGACCCAGCCCGCGAGCATGGGACCCAAGCCCATGCCCACGGCCCACATCGTCTCCTCGGTTTGGGGGGAACGAGGGGAGGGGAGGGGGTGGGTGGGTGGGTGGGTGGGTGGGTGGGTGGGTGGGTGGGTGGGTGGGTGGGTGGGTGGGTGGGTGGGTGGGTGGGTGGGTGGGTGGGTGGGTGGGTGGGTGGGTGGGTGGCTGGGTGGCTGGGTGGCTGGGTGGCTGGGTGGCTGGGTGGCTGGGTGGGTGGCTGGGTGGCTGGGTGGCTGGGTGGCTGGGTGGCTGGGCTGGGTGGGTGGGTGGGTGGGTGGGTGTGGGGTGGTGAGGGCGCTGGGGGGTGGGGGTTGCGGGTGGTTGGGGTGGGTGGGGTGGGTGGGGTGGGTGGGGTGGGGTGGGTGGGGTGGGTGGGGTGGGGTGGGTGGGGTGGGGGGCAACAGGTCACCAGCCCAAAGAACCCCAAGAAGAAAGGCCCAAGAAGGCCTAAAACCGAGGGGGTTGGCACAGGGTTCATTAGATTTCCCTTTTGGTGGTGCGCACTGGAGTGGCTGCGGGTCTTCAGGCACACACACACCGTGAGGGCTCGTTCCCACACCATCTCCTGATGTTTGTTGGGCCCAAACAAAGAATGGTGTGGGGTACCGGGTACCAAAAGCACATCAAGCCATGACCATGGGAGTGTAATGCTATTGTTTGGTATCAGCCATATGTGCAAATTCCACTTTGTTTCGGGGCGTTGTATCTGCTTTGGGCTTGCTCGTTTTGGGTTCCTTTTGGAGCTTTCGCTGCTCATGGTGGCAAGAACCGGGACTTGGAGCCCACCTGGACTAGAAGGGTTTCCCTTTGGTGTCTCAACCCAGGTGAATTGCCCACAAGTTGTTGCTTCTCAACGAAAATAGACTTCGGCTTTCCCTTTTGGTTTCCCTTTGAACCAACCCGCAAAAACTGGGCAAGTTTTTCAAACATGGGCTGTATTCAGATTTTCAGCCTCAAGTTTTGAACTTCTAGCGGGTTGATTGGACACCCAACCACTAAACCAACTAAAATACCAACTAAAAATCACTAAAAGCCCCAGGAACCGGACGGCTGGGGAAGCCCCACCCCACAAACAAACACAAAAATCCCCGCACGCTTTCCGCATGGGTCGCATCGCTCGCATGCGCCGACTCGGCGCGTGCGCCGAGGCCCCCGCCAGCATCCCCTGCACCGTGCCCCGGCAGTGGGCGCTCTCCGCGGCCACCACCGCCTGCACGCCCTGGCGCAGCGCGCCGCAGGCCGTGGCCAAGGAGGAGAAGAGCACCAGCCGCAAGAAGCTCGGGGCCTGACTCAGCTCACCAGAAATCCACACGGATTTCACCCTGGAACCGGGGAAGGGGGGCAAATTGAAAGGTGAAACTGGATGAAAAGTCTGGGAGTTCCCCTGAAAGTTGATGAATGTACTGGTGGTTTCACGGATACCCAGTCAACATCCCAGTCCCCACTAAAATTGGTTCTAAAATGGGTGGTGCACCTACCAACAGAAATGGTACCATTGGTTTTGACCCAGAGCCAAATCATCGGATTTCACACTTAGGTCAATGTCTTAGAATGGAAACACCCAAGAAATGTCGAAGTCTTACAAGGGGCAAGCTTTACTTTTGTCTCGCAGTTTGGTTGCATTCCCGCTTTCTGATTGAATTATGGTTGCGAAATTTCCGGTGAACAACAACAAGTACGGTCGAACCAGCAAGCTGGGTTTCAAGCAGAAAATAAATTCGTTTTTAGTTGTCCATGTTTTCCCATGTTTTCCCCTTTTGGTCCAATTTTCGTCCAGGTCCCAAAAGGTAAGCCTGTCATTTCCGGGTCCTTTGGGCTAGCCTTTGGTTGAACGCTAAGAGAGAACCAAAGCAGCTCCCTTTTTGACCGAAAACGCATAGTCCTGGTTTGGACCATTAAATGGTCTGGGAGAAGGATTTGTTTACCAGGTTTTGATATGTTTTTTGTTTTAAAGGGAACCAGCCTAGGTTCCATGTTGGACCGGAGGGCTTCCCGCCTTTCCACAAGTTGAGTTTCAGGATTCCACCGTTTCCCGTGTTCGAACCTCCACAAGTGGCTTCAAGGGAAAGCACCAGTACATTCATCAACTCTCAGGGAAAACTCCCAGATTTCTCATGGAGCTTCAGGTCTGAGTGCCCTTCAATTTGCCCAGTGGGGGCTTCCATTTAACCCACTAGAGTCACTAGAGCCACAATCACAACCCGGGTAGCTGAAGGATAGTAAGGGGCAATCCCAACCATAAATAGCTGCGGCCGCCTTCTTCTTTACACGATTCTGCGTAGACCAATTCAATACCGTATGACTCTCTGAAAGCTATATAGGCACTTTTAGAAGGTCTGAAGACGCCCAGTCAAGAGGAGGCTTGACCACGTTGCTGAGGTCTATCAACCAGCAAAGCTATATATATATATGTGTTGTTGCAGGTCTGGTCAAGAAATGAAATGGAACCCCCAGCTGAACCATCCCCCAAAAGTTTCCTTCAATCCATCGCTCCATTCCCAAAACCCCTGCTGATTGCCCCAGAAATCTAAAGAAACAACCAGCCGACCTACCCACCAGCCAACGAAAGAACAACTCACTTAACAAACTAAGGGATCTTGAAAACAGTGGAAAGCAACAGAAACCACAAAGCCAACCAAGCCAAGCCAACAGAACAACAAACAAACAAAACAAAAAACGGAAAACAAAGTAGCCAAATAAGACAACCAACAGCAAAGCACTTCACGTTGACGGCATCCAATAGAAACAAACACATCAACAACGCAAAACACAA